TTTAATTCAAATTACAAATTACCCAATAAAATCTATTTTTCTTGTCCCACATTGGTTTAAAGTAAAAAAGATTACATGGAAACCTCTTATAAAATTATAGACCAAATGAAATAATAATCACACATTTCTCAGCCTTTTGACTAAGATTAAGTGCCTTTTGACTAAGATTAAGTATAGTACTAAATTTTTTTGGGTTGGCTTTTTAGCTTGACTTTTCTTGGTCTTTTGGCAAAGATAAGTATAGTACAACTTTCTTGGTCTTTTGGCTTTATAAAAAAAGAGTCTTTATAAACAAAAAATTATTTTAAAAGGTTTAATTCAAATTACAAATTACTTAATAAAATTTATAAAAATTAATTGCGAAAAATGCGTCTCGGCCCTAAGTATTGTCCTTCTTCTTTTCCCTTATTCTCACGGACTACTTTTCTTCTCTCTAATACAACGTCTCTCTTCTCTACTCATACAACGTCTCTCTTCTCTACTCATCGCAATTTTATTCTATCTGAAGATTTTATTTAAATTTTTTGTATAGCATTAGACGGGATTTAGATTTTATTGTTCTTTATTTTAAATTATATACATACATGATTGAATATGTCCTTAACTTATTCCACAATTTTCACGGACCAACTTTGTGTTTGACGGGGATTATCTCTTCTTGTTGCGTGAGTGAGATTGTGTGATACTGGCATGTATAATTCTTGTGCTCTCTCTCTCTCTCTCTCTCTCTCTCTCTCTCTCTCTCTCTAGAAAAGTCAGTCTTGACATAATGTTAAGTATGAAATTAAGCAGCACACACTACAGCTGGAATCACTGCGACTAAGATTGTGATTAAGGTGCAACGTGGATGATTTTTGTGGAACTCCTTCCCTTTCTCCTTAAAAAAAGTCAATATTTTACAGAATTTTACGTATGAAAAAGATACCATGTACAAAAAAAAACTTAAGCACACATTACAGTTGAAATTAAAGTCGATTGAAGTCTGTCCCACATTAATTTTAAGTAAAAAAGACTACATGGAAGTCTCTTATAAGACCTAAAAAAATAATAATCACATCTTTCTCGGTCTATTGACTAAAATCAAGTGTAGCACTAAATTTTTTTGGGTCGGCCTTTTGGCTAATCTTTCTTGGTCTTTTGACTAAGATCCAGTGTAAACTTTTTCGGCCTTTTGACTTTCAGTTTTTATTTATTAATATAAAAAAAGAGTTTTTATAAACAAAAAATTATCTAAATATTATTTAAACAGTTTAATTCAAATTACAAATTACCTCATAAAATTTATAAAAATTAATTTAAAGAGTTTAATTCAAATTACAAATTACTTAATGAAATTTATTTTTCTTGTCCCACATTGGTATTAAGTAAAAAGGATTACATGGAAGCCTCTTCTTTTGGCTAAAATCAAGTGTAGTATTACTTTTTTGGTCTTTTGGCTAATCTTTTCAAATTATAAAAAGTCTAAAAATTATTATCTAATAAAATTCAAATAAAATATAAAACTATTACCTAATAAAATTCAAATAAAATATTTATTAAAACTCTAATACGAAATACATTTCAATTTATGTATATCAAATTATAGAAACTCTAAAAATTATTACCTAATAAAATTCAAATAAAATATTTATTAAAACTCTAATACAAAATATATTTCAAATTATAGAAACTCTAAAAATTATTCCCTGATAAAATTTAAGTTACCTATTTTATCTATTTGTTGTTTCTAAAAAAGTCTATACTCCCAGATTATGCATTGTTTTATCCCCCAGATTATGCATTGTTTTATTATTTTTTATTTGTCTCACCCCCATATCATGCATTGTTTTATTATTGTTTATTTGTCTCATACCTAGATCATGAATTATTTTATTAATTTTTATTTGTCTCACACCCAGATCATGCATTGTTTTATTATTTTTTTGAGTTATGAATTCTTTTATATGTCCATGGTTTATGCCTTCCGAATATGATGTTCTCTATAGAATAATCGTCAGCATTTTAACCCTGAAGAAACTGAGAAGAAACTGACTATTTGATTGGCCAAATTCAAAACGATAGAATTGAAGTTGTTGAATTGAAGTTTCTTAATAACACCTTAATTGAAGTTGAGAAGCTTGAAGTAGTAAACTTAGAAACAATAAAATTTAATTTTGTGGACTTCAAGGAGCTGAACAAATACATTGATGCAAAAGAAAATATGGATTAGTTATCGTTTAATTCTCTACTCTCCATATATATGTTATCTCTTGTACAAATATAAAAAAAATTAAAATGAACATTAATATTTTATTTTTAATCTTGCTAAATGCTTTGGAAATTGTTATTGAGGTATCTCCTTCATTGAACATGTGTAGGAAGAATAACAAAGGCACAACCAAAAAATGACAAATCATTATAATAGATATGATGTACGTTATTACTATATTACATATACAATCATAATTATGCAAATATAATATAATGACTAAAGTAATTAATCTTTATTACAGTTCAAGGACAATGATTTTGACGTTATGGGAGAATCTTGCTGAGAATGAAATAAACTTTATCATGGAGCTAATACAGGAAAGACATGTAGCAATCAACACCTACAAAGGTAAATTATCATACAAATTGATATTATTTACACTATATATTATTAAGTAAATCTATAATAACAAATTTTTACAAATAACAATGTATATTCCAGGCCTGTCTCTTCAAACACAAAAATGATCTACATTGCAATTTAATATGGATATTGAAAGTGTCAAAGCATTAATATATTGATTCGTTATTTATTGTAACTTTTTTTACATTATATATACACTATTTGTAGACACAGAAACCAACGGGTTAGTGACCTACCGATATCGGCCTCTTACTTCCTCAAGAGAGGTCAGAGGTTCAAGTCTCAAAAGAGACTTGTGTGTGTGAGTACCAATTAGGAAAAAAAATTTGTAGAGAGAGAATTTTATATTTGGACAAGTCCAAAGAGAACATAAATAATAAAGATATTCAATGGTGCTGAAAAGTCAAACGTCAAGCATAATAGGAAATAGGAAAATCTACAACATCTTTTGAGGTATTAAATTTCAATATATTTCTTAATCTTCCTTAATTGTGTATCACATATTTATATATTGAGAAATTATATTTTGTTGCACAACTTGTAGAAAACAAATTACTCCAACAATTGAAAATGTCATCAATGATCGTGAACCGTGGTACAACACGTATGAGAAATGCAATAAGAAAATTAAAGTTGAAAAAGATAAAGTATACTATCCTTGATGCAACACAATAGATTCAAAATGCTTTCAAAAGTATTATTATGTTTTAAAATTAATCTTATTATTGTATTTATTTCAATGGTTTAATAATATTACAAATACATAATTCTTTGTCTTTACTTATGTGCAGATTCATAATAATAATTAAAGTGTGAAGTATGGAACATATTGGAACACTTGCAACCCTAACAATGTACAATGATTGCCAAACATTAATAAATTGTTCACTAAATAATTTACTACAATTACAAATTGAGGTAATTTTCCATCATTGTTCATAAAATTTTAATTAAATTAAAAAAATATTTACTTGAATTTCTCAATAGCTCTAAATTCTCAATAGTTCTAAATTATATTTATTCTTTTTGCAAGATATGGATGAATTCAGCAACAAAGTGACAAACTACAAAGAATTTTTATTTATTTTTCTGGTGAAGATAAATAATACTCAATAACAAGTCGTGAAAACTTATTTTGCGATAGAAGAATTAAAAGAATTGACACTTGACAATGATTCATTTCATGAAGAAATGAGATATGCAAAAAAGATAAAAATTGAGAAATAAATAATTTAGGAATACTTTTATTTTTAAACAGTTATAGTTTTGGATTTTATAATATATAGAATTTTTATATAGTATTTATTTATGAATATTTTGTAAATTATAGAATTTTATTTTCATATACTTGTTAAATGTTTATGGTTTTCATTCATGCATCAATAGAAAACCTTATTTTGTTTATTTTGATGTGACAATTATTACTCTCTAAGGCATTCTGGGCCTCAAACTGTTTTGCCTATTTTATATATATATATATATATATATATATATATATATATATATATATATATATAAACTATAAACAATTAAAATATATATGAAAATATAAATTATACAAGTTAAAAAATATTCATAACGTGTATCGCACGTGCCTTTTACTAGTATATATAAAAATATCTTAAAGTCAAAATGGCAAGTAAGTACTAATTCTTTTATTTTTTAATGATGGTAGTGTTAAGTGCCTTAGAGTATTTTATAATCAACTGGACGTAAGAAATTTGAACTCTAACCTACCTCAAAATGTGAGATGGGAAGTCTTGTCATTACACTATCTCCCTAGAAAGTTTTCATTTTGTTGAAAACTCAATACATTATACTTAATTTGCTTAATTTGAAAATAAAAGTTTTTTTAATAACAAATAAAATTGATATTTTTTATTTTATTTTTATTTTTATATTTAAAAATAAAACAAGGTGAATTTTAATTTTGTTTTATTAATGAAAATAAAACTGGAGTGAAGCAAAAAAAAAAAAAAAAATCAATCAGAATACCCCATGCGTTTGATGAGTTCAAATGGCATACTATTAATCAATTGACAAATAATTTTTTTTAAGAAATTCCATGGAGAAAAAGTGATTTTGCATGGAAAAAAAAACCAAAAAAAAAAAAACAAAGGGGCCGAAGTTTGGCAGCCTCGATCCAACCCGGTCTGGCCCGTTCGGTTTGGGCCTGCCCAACTTTGATCATTATTCTAACAATACCGCGTTTTAATATCGATCATTCTTCTCTTCCATCTAGGGTTTTAGGTTGCTAACAATTCCCCCTGTCAGAACTCACTATCTAGGTTTTGGATTTGCTAATATTTTCTTGTCTCGGAGGCGCTTTTCAGAACTACCAATCTAGGGTTTTGGATTTCTTGATTTGTGCATACAGTTTGTGAAGATGGTAGGGCAAGAATGGGTGATAGAACGAGATATTTATGAATTGCAGCTGCAAGAGGACGACGGAGCACGGCGAACGTCTGAAATGCTTGGCATTGCAGTAGATATACATAGAAATCAGAGTCAGTATCCCGATCCCGATTTCTCCGATTTTTCCCTGGTTCCACGTGTGCGGCACAATCATTCTTCTCTCCCATCCTCTTAAAGCATGGGAGTTTCTACGATAGACCGCATATCTCCTCAGCTCCTATCTTTCTCTCGTTTCCTGAACAATGATAGAACTGGTATTCCTCGTTGTCGTTGTGGTAACAATTCAAGGACATGATGAGCCCGAGCCCGAGTCTTCAATGGCCTGGGCTATGGAGGAGGATTATAGGGCATTGCAGTTTGTTCCCGCAACACAGTCATCTCTAGACGCCTTGGAGGAGATGATATTTGATAGTTCTGGTTCTATTGAAAAATGTTCGATTTGTTTGGAGATGTTTTGTCACGGGGAGTCGATCGTTAGCATGCCATGTTATCATCTATATCATGGAATTTGCATTCATCAGTGGCTAAAGACCAGCCATTACTGTCCCCTGTGCCGTTTTGAGATGCAAACCTAATTCATCCATTAGGTTTTATTTTTAGTTATATCATGTTCTTGGTTAATTGTTGTCTTAGAGTAACTCCAATGCTCTCTTATTTGGTCTCTCAAACTCAAAATATGACACTTGGATAAAAAAAGCCTCTCCAATTAGCTCTTATTTGAACTCTCAAATTTTGAGATTTTCAAATTTCTTTTCATATATAGTAGCTGTCAAATTTTTAATATATTATATTATATATATAAATTTTTGAATAAAAAAATTAATTCACAAATAGTGTTAAAAAATTTATAAAAAATTTGTATATATATATATTTTTGGTCCTTTTTTGACCAGATATTTTAGATTTATACTTCTTTTTAATTAGGTTTAATTTTAGTTTACTTCTAATATCTACAATTTGACTTAAAATGTGTCTAATATTGATATTACTGATACAAATATAAATGGTGGTTGTGTTAAAAAATAACATTTTGCGTGAAATGTTATTTTTTAAGCAGAATTGGTAAAATGTAACATTTTGACACTGTAACACTTGTCAAAATATAGAATTGGCATGTGAAAATAGGTTTTAGCATTGAAGATGCTTTTATATATGAAACTAGATGTTGTATATAATGTATGTAATGAAGGTTTTAGTTGTGTGTTGTAAGCCACTTCAATATATTTTGTATACAATGAAGGTTCTGTGATTCTTTGTGCTGTATATGATATCACAAGGTATACAATGAAGGTTCTGTGTTCTGTGTATATTTTGTATTCAATGAAGGTATTTCTTTTATGTGTTTTGCTTCAGTTTTAAGGTATACAATGAAGGTTCTGTGTTCTGTGTACGTATTAGCAGCTAATTGAATGACTGGTGAAAAGATAACAGAAATGTGGTCGGTATATTTCAGCTTTTACCAAATGAAAAATAAATAAATAAAATTTGTGGTCTCTATGTAGGTGATTTTGACTGTAAAGTATGCAGCTGAAGAACCAAGAGCAGGTCTAGAATCTGGTTGGTGATGTATACTTCTCACTTCTCGGTGTCTTTGAATTGCAATGGTATGTTAGCCCATTGAATGGACATTGTGTAGCATAGAATTAACCAATTATCTTTAGTGAAATCTAGTCAAATCATGAAGCATTGACTTTAACAAATATGGAACCATTTTTGCTTTACAATTCAAAAAAAAAATGGAACCATTTTGCTCTTTTACCTCAGATATGGTTGTCAGTTTTTCGAGGTTTCATTTGGTTTAAGAGGGATTGTTTTATGTGGCTGCATACATGCAGGTCTGATGGAACAGAAGTGACAGTCTATTAGGTTAGGTGGTAAATAGTGCAAAACTGACTTGTAGAACAACAGTCAAATGTTTATTTTTGGTTGTATACACTATTTAACCTACCCATTTTGTATGAAAATTATTCGGAAATATAACATGGACAAGACGAGAGAGGTCGTGTTCATATTCTTATACGTCAGTACACATCCAGCTATTCTTCTTCTGATTGTTTTGTGTGTTTGTGCATATGTCAGTACTTATTGTTGAACACACAGAACATAAATATTCAGCAATATTTATTACCTAGGGCTGTCCTCAAGTAACTCCTAAACTACAAATTGTCCTTTGAACTATTAATTTGTTGCAATTGAGGACAAACGCATCACAAAAGACTATTTTAGCATTTCTCATTAAATTTGTAACTTCTTATTAAATTATTTTTATTATCTTTTCTTTTATCAAAATATTAATTATACCGTATATCTTAATTATATTATTACTATCAATTTATAATATAAATAAATAAAAATATTTGTAAATACAATTTTATAAAATGATTAATTTATTTTTAAAACTTTACTATTTGTAATAAAACTTATTCGACTCACTTCAAACTTTTTTACCATAAAAGTACCTTCTTTTTCATACAATAAATTCATAAAAATTTAATAAATTACTTAAATAAAAAATACTCTTTTTAATGCAATGTATTCATGAAAAATTAATAAATTACTTAAATTGTTTTTAAAAATTTTACTTAATTTTTTTATTTAAACAATTAATTTAAAAAATCAAAGGTAAATTTTATGCAAATTTAATGGAAAATATGTCATCAAATTACTATGAATTATTTTTCATAATTTATTTCAATAGGAAAAACAAATGAAGTGTAATTCAATAAGAAATGACATTATAATCCTTTAATAAAATATAATCAAGCCATTAGAGTGTTTTGTAATTAAATGTGAAAGTTCAGGAGATAATAGATATTGGAGAATTGACCTTTTTATTGAGATTCATGTCTGGAATCTTACTTGCTGCATGCCAATGGGAGAAGAATTATTCCAAAAAAAAAAAAAAAAAACTCAAAAAGATGCTTAAAAGTTATACCTAGCTGCCCAAATTCTTCACTGAATATATGTTCATTATATTTCATCTCATCACTAGGAGTTAAAGATCAAAAGAGGAAAAGTAGTTCGCGCAAGTGGCGACACAAGCGGACTAAAACTATGAATAAATAAAGAAAAACTTAAAAAAAAAAAAAAATTAAATCTAAAAGAATCATGGTATATAATAGGAAAGAATGAAAAAAAAGGAATTCATGTTTCAACTAATTTATATGGAATAAAGACAAGAATGATGATAAATAATTAGGAACTAAAAATTATATTTCGTGCAATCAATTCCAAGGTAATAAACTAGTGAACCATCATTCCCGTATAAAATATTACATGTCTTACAGATTTTTTTTTCGATCATATTGGATTCTGAGAAAAACAAATGGCAAATCACTTTCATGAAAAAATAGTACCCAAAAATGAAGAAAATACGTATCGATCATCTTATACGGGCAGTTAAATCCCAGAAGGGCCAGTACCATTGCATGACATACTAACACAAGTACACACTACAAGGCTGCACAATATGAACTTCTGCTATGTTACAAACCTCAATGAACTTATGTTCTGACTATAGTTCATTCAATAACAATGGAAGGGCAAATCTACATACCAGAGCAATCCAATCTCAAAAATGTGTCTTGCCTCTCTAGTGTACAATGTGCGGAATGAGCGTAAGCAGAATTTTCAAGAAGAAATGCTTATATGCAAACTCAGTCCTTCGTCTCTCACTTTGGACTCTGTAAGATCAAAACTCATCGTATCAACAATTCCTCCCACAATGAACTCTCGAAGAACTGCAAATGAATGGGAACTGCCTGAAGCAATCTTCCGTCCCCTCCCCTCCGTCCCCCACCAGAGCCGCCGGATCAATCATCAAGATGATGAAGGTTGGAGGAATTGGTCTACTTGATCAAGATTTGTTTTCCCTGGATTGGTCCAACTGGGCCTCCTCTATTTGGGCCTCATGGATTATTATTATTATTATTATTAGTTGAATGGCCTCATGTATTATTGTTTTCCCTTCGGCTAACTGAATGTGTTGGCCCTTTACATTTTTGTCCAAATATATATAAACTGAAATTTACCTTTCAAAAAAAAATAATGATAATAATAATAACAACTGCTCTTCTCAATTTTGTATTTAATTTCAAGTTGCCAATATTGATATGAATAATTCATAAATTGATTTTAGGAATCTTTCATTTTTTTTTTTTTTTTAATATTAGGATAAATTGAACAAATTCATTTAAAGGAGGATTACAACGGTATACCAATTTTTCATCTACTTTTTTTAAAGTCGATATTTCCGGATCAAAGTTTGATTTGATTACTCATGATTCATTGTTTGATTTGAAAGGAGGGGAGAATCATTGAGCACATGTGATTTAATTTTCTTTCCTTCTTACAAGTTTTGTTTGTTTTTTTTTTTTCTGTTTTTTTTTTTATTTAAGAAAATTGAAAAATAAAATTATTATTTCATATATATATAAAACTACTAATGCTAATTTAATTGGTCACATGCGGCCCTATATGCTTCTATTGTTCGGATTTTCATGCAGTCGGAGTATATGTTTATGATAAGGTATGACGACATTGTATCTTTTAATATTTTTTATGATAATATAAAATTTTAAATAAAAAGTTGATATAATTCATTATTGTGGGTGGTATATATGATTTTCACTTGAGATTTTATCTAAAATTATTATAAACATATATATTTTTTATTTTTTATTTTTTATTTAGTTATGTGATAGATATTTATGACTATATTTATTTATAAAAATAGAAATGATATGATTCTCACTGAGTCTATCATTTTTTATTTATTTTTTTATTTAAATTCTGGAAGGAATGGGGGCGGGCAGAGCGGGTTTGTAATATGGATAACTTGACCCGAACCCGCCCGTTGACATCAAATTCTTTTTCGAATGATTACGGGGTTCTCTCTTTTATACACCACCTATATGCTAGCTCTCTCTCCTTCTCTCTCTCTCTCTGCGGGTCACTGTAGTCACAATCTAGGGTTAGGGTTACCATGGTTGCATTCAACACAATTTCCTTTTGTTGATTCATTTGAATAGCATTGTTGTACTGAACATTCGAACTCCGATTTTCATCGAAAGAAATTTGAGTATATCGAGAAGAAAATGAGTGTGGATCTGGCTTCGAATTCACATGGCAACCTCGATGAGCAGATTTCACAGCTCATGCAGTGCAAGCCCTTGTCCGAACCTGAGGTTTTTCTCTATATATATCTATCTACTTTTTTCGTCCCCATTTCTGGTTTCATATGCAGTTTCATTTGATTGTTTTTATGCAATAAATCTTAATTCTTTTATGAGTGTTTTATCTTTATTTTTAGTTGAGAGGATTTTTCTGCTGTTATTTTGGAGTTGAACCCTAAGCGATCTCATTGATTTTGCCAAGATTTGCTTATGTGACTCCCTATCTAGAATTTAATTTTTTAATTTCTTGAATGTACTAGTAATGATGAGAATTCCGTATCTGTTAGGGCTAGCTGGAAATCAAACTTTTGATCTTTAATTTATACTTCTGAAGTTTGTGATGAAGGTCTAATACATGGTGTGAAATTTTAAATGGGCATGAAGTATTGATAATTGGGGTACTATTCACAGTTCAGTTTATATTTTAGCATGGATCCTGTAGACCAATGTTTCTTATGCTTATTTTAAATGCGTTTGGATCAATAGACAAGTAAATCATTTCCCCTGTCTCTCTCTGTGTCTATGGAAAAACCTCTTTTTAGAAGGTTCTTTGATCTTGCTTCTTCACATTTGTCACTGAACTACTGAAGGATGTAGTTCAAGACTGGGATGGAAAAAAGTAATAATTGAAGGGTGAGAAAATATAGAAAGCAATTTTACTAGTCTTTTTGGGGCATGGAGAAATATGTAGATTTTGTACTGGAGTCTAAAGGAATTTTTTATATGAAAGAAGAGGTCTATAATGATGGGTTTTTTTGTATTGTTTGTGTGTTGTCTTTTTGGTGTTCCCTGTGGCAATTCAAGAGTTTATGTTGCTGATATTATAGAGTTATGAGTTTTGTTTTGTACAGAGTAATTTTTGCGGCTTTGTATTATTTGATTTGATCTTATCTTTTATCTTCAGCTTTTCCTCCTTTATGTACATAGAGGCCATTACTAATTGTAGTTTCCTCTTAATTGTTGCACAACATGACTACCCTCAAACTCGAATATGAAATTCATGCTTAATAGGCTAAGTTTTTTTTGCTCCTTTTGTATATCTTATAATATACATTTACGTTATTCTCAAAATAAAATCATAGTGACAAGGGGCAAAACTGGGCATTGTTTTATTTTATATATGATTTCTTCATTATTGGGATTTACCAATATTTTTTAGTAGATGGATTTTTGGATATATATAAGAGTATTTTGGACTAATATATATATGTCTTTGAAATTTAATAAAAATTAGAATGACTGACATTAATTTGTTTGTATGTTTATAATTATTAATTATAAAGGTTTAAAGTAATTTAGGTGAAGTAGTGTGACAGGAATCGCTTTGAATTTGTTTTAATAGAAATTAGATTGAGTTTGATATTTTGATTGACAAGTTTGAGTTTATTGTATCGATTACTCCAACCAAAAGCTCAAAATCTGAGTTGCCTCATAACGTAAGTAACACAGTGCCAAAAAAAATGAAGAAAATATCATCCAAGATTTTAGCTTCTGGTTGGACTAACTAATACAATAAAATATAAATTGTTGAGATTCTTGAGATTATTTTGGTTGATTGTAACTGGAAGGTGTTCTAGAAAAGATTTGTTGTATTTGTTGTGTGTCATGTTTCTTCTAACATATGTTTTCCCTTGCCGCTAAAAGCATAAGTTTTAACAGCCTCCATCTTTCGGTGGATGTAGGTTAGGACGTTATGTGAGAAGGCTAAAGAGATTCTTATGGAAGAGAGTAACGTTCAGGTATAAACCATACTTTTTCTCCTTCTTTCCTTTTTGGTATCATTACTTTTACTTTTTCTATCATAATGTATCTTGGTAATGGATTTTTTTATCCAATATTTCTTCAAGCGTATCTCGTATATTGTAAATTTTAATATCCTTTCTGTGTGTTACTGTTGAACTTAATTTTCCATCCATCGCTGATAGCTGTATCTTCCTAAGCCTTGTGGTGGCTAGCTAAGTTTTGATAGATGTATCTTCCGAATCATTGTGGTGGCTAGCTAAGCTTTGATAACTGTATCTTCTTAAGCCTTGTGGTGGCTAGCTAAGCTTTAATAGCTATATCTTCTGAAGTCTTGTGGTGGCTAGCTAAGTTCTTGTATCCTTTCATTGTTGAAACTATTAGGAATTCCATAATGATTTAATCTTTTGTGTCTCTATGATGGACATTATTTTGTTGCGGTTGTATTTTGTAGTCCTTCCCATCAATGTAGTGGGGATTGATAAGTATTATGATTTTTTTAGGAAATGAGCCACATAACTCTGTGCAAGGATATCTGGAATTATGATCCTATTACGTTTTTGGGGTATTTTCTTGCTGGTGACACAAGATTGAAGAGGGAAATTCTTTCCCCTATCCTTTGTACTCACTTTTTGTGCGAGCATTAATAGACTGTGAAGAGGATTAAATAAAAGGGTGTTGGAAAGATATGACAGATATAGTCTTCTGGAATCTGGTTCCGGTTGTATATTTTTGTGCCTCTTTTTTCCAACTGAAAATAACATGTCCAACTATCCCTAGGCAGTGAAAATAACTTTAGAATGTGTGCATAGGCAGTGGTTGTTATTGTAGGTGTTTTATGTATCTTAATCATGTAGCTTTTTTTTTTGAATTGGAAGAAGAGTTGGAAAAAACAATAGTGTTTTCCATTGTCCCCAAAGCAAGATTTTATTTTCCTTCCTTTTGTTGTTTTCTTTTGTGGTATAAAGGGATGATTTCATTGGTCACTGTATCGGGTTTCCTTAATAGCATGCAAGAGGCACATAGAATGTCAATTTGGAATTCCTCCTAAATGTCCTTGAAAGAATGGGATCTTTTGTGTAGTGGAGAAATTGGATGGAGTGACTCATTGTGATTGCTGTAGTCTTAGTGTTTATTAATATCACTGTTAAAATGTGGTGCGGTAGGATTACGTTTAAATAGATCAATTAAGGTGAAAATAGAGTTCAGTTTGAATTAGAAGTAACAACATATTTTAAAGTTCTATGCCGGACACCATTTAGTAAGAAGGAAGAGCGGGAATTTACATTGCTTTCCTCTTACTTTTCAATTCTTTACCACATGAAGCATGAATAGGCATGCAATCTTTTTATTTTGTTGAATGCTTACATTACTGCTTTATTTAATCATGGAAATGGTTTTAGTGCGTCTTGCATATGGCTCCCCATTGCGGAGCGTTCATATTTTTGACATGAATTTTTTTGGACACTTGTGAAAGAAGAATCGGTAAGCTCAAATATGAATAAACCTTGTGTTTTGCATAATGAGTATATGGAAAGATGTCATTGTTTCACACTATTTATAACATGCTGTTAGTGAAGCGTATGCTTTGAGGAAGCTCTGTGGTAAAGTTTTAGTATTTTCTCACGCACTTGAATTGTTTTGTGTTTGCCAGTCTATATTTCTATTGTGTTGTACATACCCTCCTCCCTTTTCTACTGTTCTTGTTCACCATATTTAGGCTACTTTTGTGTCTGATTGCTTATTTGATTTTTTTTTTTTTCCCTTTCGTTTTATTCTATGCAGCCTGTAAAAAGCCCAGTGACCATTTGTGGTGACATTCATGGGCAGTTTCACGATCTTGCTGAACTTTTTCGCATTGGAGGGAAGGTATTTGTTTTTTGCTATAACATTTTTATCCTCATTTTTTGTGCTTGAGCTAGGGGGAGTAAATTCTGAGACCGGCCAAGGAAATGGGATTAAGGATGCAAGTGGTCTTATGAAATCACTGCAGGTTGAAATGCTATTAGCGATACATTTATGTTTAATATACCATATTTGTTGCAAAAGGTCCCTTATGTCATTCAAACCATTTATATATTATTAATAGTTTGGAAAAAAATCTGCTATAGCATCATACTTATTTTTCTTTTCAGGATGTTAGTATTGGAATTTTTAAATACTTGTTCCTGAGAAAATGGGTTAATAGCACATAAAAATGACTTATATAGTTATATACAGCCTGGTTTGTCTTTTACTAATTATTATTTTTAGGATTCAAATATTGTACGTTTTTTTGGGAAATACCATATTATGCCAGTGAGCTACCTTTTTGTGCATGTAATATATATTGCACCCTCACCTTGAATATTTAATCATATAATGGAGTTAAAATGATCTGTCTTTATATTGACAAGTTTATGTGAACTACAATGCTCGATATCTTTTAAAAGGAAGAACTACGTGAAAGGCCACTCCAAAAAAACCTTTTTTTTTTTTTTGATAAGTAAGATTTTATTGAAAATGCTCAAAAGGGGAAGGGAACCCAAACAAACACAAGGGCAAAGAGGCCAAAAAAACAATAATCTCCTCAATAGATCTAAAATCCCTCCCTGAAACCCAACAAAAAAGAGTGGAAATGATAGAGAACTTAAGCATAGAAAAAGGTTTCTCTTTTCCCTCAAAGTATCTCCGATTTCTCTTGAGCCAAATGCACCACCAAATACAAAGAGGCGTAGCCCTCCAGGCATCTTGCATGATAGCCCCAACAGAGACTCCTCTCCAAGACTCGATCAAACCTCTGGAGGAACAAGGCATAACCCAATAGACACCAAATAAACCAAGCATCAAATCCCAACAGTCTCTGGCTAAGCTGCAATGCAAAAGTAGGTGATCAACTGTCTCCTCATCGCACAAGCACATATAATATCGATTGATCACCACCTGGTTCCTCCTCCTCAAATTATCCTGGGTTAAAATTTTACCCAGGACGGAAGTCCAAGCAAAGAAGGCTACCTTAAGGAGAGCCTTAGAACGCCAAAGAGACTTCCAGGGGAAAGGGCCTCCGGTGCCGACCGAAAGACACCTAAAAAAGGACCTAACCTCGAAACGGCCCTGAGAGTTAGGAACCCAAAACCAACAATCTGATTCCCCACCAGTGATCACTTGGCGATACAGAATCTCCTAGCCCTGAAAATGCCTCCTAAACTGAACATGCCAAGTCAGTCTCCCGTTATCAAGGTGATAACAGTCAACCACCATGGCTTGTCTGTGAGAAGCAATCCTATAAAGCCGTGGAAAAGCGAGGGCAAGGGGAGTCTCCCCACACCAAAGATCCACCCAAAATCTCTGATCCTCCTGCCATCCTTAATCTGAAAACAAACATGCTTGCAGAAAACATCCCACCCCCTCCGAATGAAAGACCAAACCCCCACCCCCTTTGGACCACGCACCTCAGAGAGCACCAGCCACCACTGCTCCCCCCAAACTTGCTCGCGATAACTCTCCTCCAAAGCCAATGCCTTTCAATCCCAAACCTCCAAAACCATTGAAGGGCTATTACAACTTGCTTAATGGGTAAAAACTAAAAAGTAATTGAAGTGATCAGGTTGCACCTTAAAGTACATTAGAAATGACATTTTAAAAAGGTACACTGTATTTATAAAATTCCATCTCAATATTATAACTAATTTTTTAAAAATAAAAATTAAAGACTGTGCCAGAATTATAAAAAATGAAATGGAAGGGAGGTAAAAAAGAAAACACAGCATTTTTGTGGATCCATTTCCATTCTCATATATACTAGAACTTGACAAGTCTGTGTACCTTCCTCTGGTATTCGGAATACGAAGAGCTCAAAAGATGATACTTCATCGTGAACAAGGATGACCTTACGTAGCACATGTACAGAGAACTTGTGCTAATGGTGTCGTAGCAATTCGTATCCTTCTATGCATGTCTTACGTGTTTTACTCTGATTATGAATCTTAAGTTTTATGACGGAGTTAATAAAGAGTGCTCTTTACATCAACAGTTTATTCAACTGCCATGCTTGATCTCTTTGAAAAAGGAAGATTTCCATGACAGGCCATTATTAAGAATAGTTACATACCATTTTTCTTGTTACATGGTTAACAAGTAGTTGGAACGATCAGGTTGCACCAGTAAATACATTAATAACATTTTAAAAAGCAAATAATCTGTTTAAAATTTTGGTTGAGAAGTGAAATTTATTGAAAAGTAGTTTAAAACAAACACAACATATGATATATTTTTATGGATATATTCTCATATTTTACAAACATCACAAAAGAATGATTTACTTGCATCTCTCTCCCAGGCACTAAATACGGAGAGCTCAAAAGAAAGATACTTTTGCAAATAGACCTCCTCCCCTCAAAAGGACAGCTATCCTTTTCTTCCAAATGCATCACAATAGACGAGGCAGAATCATCCGCCACATATTTAGAATTCATTCCATTGAAAAAGTTTCTGCATTTTATCTTGATATTCAATACACCACCACCAACAACAACCAAGCCTTTTCCCAATTACTTGGGGTGGGCTACAGGAATCCTATGTTTCCATTTTGCTCTATTTAAGGCCATAGCCTCAATCAATCTACATGCTATCATATCTGTCTTTACTAACTCTTCCCACATTAACTTGGTATTCTTCTTCCCCTAGCATTACTGTCAATGTGGACTATGTCATTTTTCCTAACCGGCATACTTAAAGGTTTTCTTTGCACATTTCAAACCATCTTTACCTATTTTTTCTGGTTTTATCTCCAATTGGTGCTACTTCAACCATCTCCCGAATGTGATCATTTCTAGTTCTTTCGCATTTCTGCCCCTTATCTTTGTATTCAATGCAATAAAATTTATCTTGATATTACATCTTAAAAATAGCCTGATTGTATTCGTGTGATATAAATATTAGAATATCAGACACTTAATTTCTCATGTATTGATTGCTTATCATGGGTTTCGTTCCCAGTCACTTGATGCTTTTGCTTATATGTTATATTGTTCACTTCATATTCTAAATCAAAATGTCTCTTATGGTACATAATACAATAGAATTCAAAATACAGACGATGTTGAGTTTGGTTTGCGATTGGATGCATTATTTGGTAACTATGCATGTGCACTGATAGAGTTATTATTTAGGGATTCGATTAGAAAAATTCCCAGCTGCTACTGTGTTGTAATCTGGAGTTGCCTACCCCCATCTCGTTATACATTCACCATTACTATTATTCTTATTTTTCTTACAAATTATTTTATTCAGGGATCTAACCTATGGTTGTGCATTTCTTATTGACAGTGCCCAGATACAAATTACTTGTTTATGGGAGATTATGTTGACCGTGGGTATTATTCAGTCGAGACTGTCTCAGTAAGTAACAGTCGGACCATTGGTCCTTTTAACACTGTGCGAATATTTTTTTTCTTCTATTTATTTTTTATTTTTTAAAAGAAAGAAACTTCTATTAGAGAACTGTGAGTTGGTATAAATTCACTCTTCTGGGAACCATTCACTAGTGATCATGTATGCATTTGTTCAGCTTGATGCAATAGCAATTTTCTTTTATTTTTCTTTTATTCCCTTTTTAATGCAGGAGTAGCAATTTGAATAGTTCAATAATGCCAATTGCCTGCTACTAGTTTAAAACTGTTTTTATCACCACAATGTTGGATGAATTTCATGATGTTATACGGCATCTATCCCAATGGTATAACCTCTCCATCCTCAGAGGAGGGCAGGTCGACCCCAGGAGGCCGCGAGTGGGCGGAAAGTGTGTTAGTACTTACCTGATAAAAAAGAAAGAAAAGAAAAAGATGGAAAGAAAAGGGGGAAAAAAAAAAAAAAAAAAGGGCCCAGCATTAAAACAAAGTGTATATGGTTCTAATGATGAAATCACAAGAAGGGAAACATGCTATAATATCTGATTTAAATATGCACGGCATGGATTATCAGTGTTTCAGTTGATGTGTCAAATATCATTCACTGTAAACAATATTCTCTCAAATTTTTAATTCGCTAAAATTTTCTTGATATATATATATGTATATGCATAATATGCTATTCTGAGTTCTAATATGTGCTCTTAATGTCTTTTAGACGTACATAGAAAGCTTTTTACATTTGCATTTTCTGTTCAACACTTTGCTGTAACATGTTCATTGTTATTTTATTTATGGCATTTGCCATTATAATTTGTCATGTACTGTAAGTTGTAAAATGGTATTGATTTACATAGTGACAATTAGGGTAATACCATTTTGCTCTCTTTTTTCAGCTTCTGGTGGCTCTGAAAGTGCGCTATCCTCAACGGATAACAATTCTTAGAGGGAATCATGAAAGTCGACAGGTGTACTCTTGCTTCTCTCCCTCCTTGGGCTCTGTCAAAATTCAAATCTGAATGATCATGATGTTCATTTTCTTGTTTACTGATATTATCAGTTTTGTTAGGGGGCCAACTTTCTAGATATTGACATGTTACCCTTTTTTTTTTTTTTTTTTGGGGGGGACTTGGCTAGAATATTTGTAATTCAAGCTGAATATTACTTTTTTGTACTTGTGTGCAGATAACTCAAGTTTATGGGTTTTATGATGAATGCCTACGGAAGTGAGTTCCTTACACCTTGTATGTTAAGTCCCAACCAAATTAAGCTGCAGCAGGATTCATTGCCTAAACTTTTGCAGACAATTTTACTGACGTCTCCTTTTTCGCCTCTTCAAATAGGACAATATATTATTATATACTGATAAAATGTACGTCATGGGAAGAAAGAGAAAAATCATTCACTCAGAACCCCTATTCCTAGTAAAGACAAGTAACTTTACTCCCTCATTCTAAAAGCTTTACCATGGCACTGTTTAATTACCTCCTGGTGGAAAGGCCTCGTCCATTGCCTTACATTTCTACTGAGAACATCTTCCCTTTATGGTGATTATTAATTTATTACATGAATGGGCCATACATAGAACTCATCAATTGAGTTGATGTTGGTCCATTTTTTTGGATGTCAAGTTACTTGCCTTTAATTATATATCAGTAACAGATGGCTGAAAAAAGAAAATCACTTTAGTGAGAACTGATGATTAATTAAAATCTTCCAGTTGAAGAGTGTTCATCTCAGCCAAAGAAAGAAATATTTAATTAAGGATGTACCAGTAAAGCTGTTCCCTCGAGAAATCATGGACTCTTCACAACCAATCCACTAATGTGGGAAATTCTAATACTGCAAATATTTGGTGGTGGGTCTTAGAATGCTCTATTGTAATTCTTCTGTGTACTTGCTCCATCCAAAACTAAAATGAATTTTCATCATGTGCTGGCTTTCACTTGCAATTTCCCTGGATATCCAATAAAATTTCACTACATCACACTTATGAATTTCTTAGGTGTAAATTTCCCCAAGCATGGATAACCTTTGAGTAGGTTTCATGAACCAGTGGCTGAATCTGCAAAACCTTTTATCTTGAATATATACAATGGAACTAGAAACATGTTTTGTCTAGCTGATTAAAAATGGTTGGGACAATATCACACATCCAAAAAAGTAGTAGTCTGGGTAATGTTACATCTTGTTGAATTATGGTTCAACAATGTTCCTAGTCGTATTTAGCTCATTTTCTAAATATCACTTGGTGTCACAGGTATTTTATGTAATTGTAGACTTGTAGTGTCATGGTCTTTCTTTTTTTCAATACATATTTTGGGTCTGTTGTGGTTAGTTAGGTGGAGTTGTGCAGAATCCTCTTTCTCTTTACATCATCAGATTCTTAATTTGTACCATTTTGTTACAGGTATGGCAATGCTAATGTTTGGAAGATATTTACGGATCTATTTGATTATTTCCCATTGACTGCCTTGGTTAGTAGCATTTTAACTTGACTTTCTCCCAAGTTATTAATTGATTGATTGAGGCTTTCATTTTTGTTTTTCAATCAGTAAAAACATAGTTTAAACTTTGTTACATTCATCAGCATATAGAATTTTTAGTCATACTTCTTTTTTATGTTATTCATGTTGCTTTGTTTACATGGCTTTTAGAAGTTTTGGAACCGTAGTTTATATATTCATCTGTCATCTTGTAAACATTGTAATGCTGCAATTCTGTTGTTGATGCTAAATTATAGTACGTATTCTGTAGTAATGGGTATTTGTTTGTGATGCTGGTCAAGGTTGTTTGGATAAGAATTCTTTGTCAGATCTATGGGGGCTTCCATTGAGTTGTGATGCTGATTGAGGTTATTAGGATTGGAACCAATCAATTTTGGGTTTTCTGCATTTCAGAAGCCGAAATTATCTTCAATAATAAAACAATTTAAAAGCTCCAATTCTCGACCAAGACAGGTTGTAAATTGTTCTATTACTGAAGCTAATTTCGGCTTTTTAAATGCAGAAAACCCAAAACAAATTCAATGTAGTCTTCCAGTCCTAATAACCTCAATTGGCATCACAACTCAATGGAAGCCCCCATAGATCTGACGAAGCATTCTGATCCAAACAACCTTAACCAGCATCACAAACAAATACCCATAACTATAGAATACTTGCTATAATTTAGTATCAATAAAATAGAATTGCAACTTATCAAAAAAAATAGAATTGCAGCATTACAATGTTTACAAAATGACAGATGAATATAGAGTACGGTTCCAAAACTTCTAAAGCCATGTATATAAAGCAAGATGAATAACATAAAACAAAAGTATGACTAAAAATTCTATAAGTAATATGGTGTAAGGCAGTGTCAATATCTGAAATTTGAAATTGTGTCCGATGCAGTAACCATAGAACAGCTTGAACTGTGCCTGGATGCCTTGTACTGCTCTTCCTAAGAACTTGAAGGACAACCCCCCCCCCCCCCCCCCCCCCCCCCCCCCCCCCCCCCCCCCGGATTAGAAATTTCAAATAAATGCATTTATTTACAGACAAAAAGGATAGTGAAAGGAACATTGTTTTGCCACATGTATATATAAGCATTTCCATGATGGAAAAAAAATTATTTAGTAATTTCTTTCATAGATATTACTCAAACAGTTCGATTTGCCAAATCAAGTTTTTGGTTTATGTTTATTATAGGTTATAGCCCAACCTTTGTTTATGTCCAGTGTTTTTGAACTGCTATTAATTTTTATTATTCTTGTCAAATCTTAGGTCGAGTCAGAAATATTTTGTCTGCATGGTGGATTGTCCCCATCCATTGAGACACTTGATAATATACGGAATTTTGATCGTGTTCAAGAAGTTCCACATGAAGGCCCTATGTGTGATCTTTTATGGTCTGACCCAGATGACCGTTGTGGTTGGGGCATCTCTCCGCGTGGTGCTGGATATACTTTTGGCCAAGTACTGTTTTCATGATCATACTTTAATCTGTTTTTTCTCTCTTAATTATTTCTTCTGACTCGTGTAATAACTTCTTCAGGACATATCTGAGCAATTCAATCATACCAACAACCTAAAGCTGATTGCTCGAGCTCATCAGTTGGTTATGGAGGGATTTAACTGGGGACATGTAATTATTTTATACTTTCAACTATGAAGGCCACTGCTGATTATAATTTGTTTGGAATGTTTGGTTTTGCTTAAACAACTTTTATGCTCGTGACAGGATCAAAAGGTCGTCACCATTTTTAGTGCACCTAATTATTGTTATCGATGTGGTAACATGGCATCTATTTTGGAAGTTGATGACTGTAAAGGGCACACATTTATCCAGGTCTCTCTCTCTCTCTCTCTCTCACACACACACACACACACACACACGCACACAAAAACACACACACACACACCCGCGCGCCCGTGCGTGCGCGCACACTCACAGAGCATGTGAATGTGTCCATGAACATGCCCCATATGCACACCAAACAATGAAAAATATATAAGATTTTGAAATGGCCTTAGTGGCACCTGGTGGCCTTTTTTTTTTTTAAATTTATATATATATATATGACGTGCCACCTGGGCTTTCCATCCAAGCATATCTGATTTTCTGATCTTTTTTTACAACTTCAAATTATGTGAATTGTCAAAAATCACTCTGAACATCAGAATGGCAAATATGCTTATCAATATTCCCCATCCTCCAAAGTCCATTTGATACATAGGTGCTACTTTCCCAAATCTTGGCATCATGAATTATCAAATGCTAAATGTAATCCATGATATGACTTCAGTTGTGCATGTTAAGAGTAAATAGTAGTTTAAATTGTGTAATGATTTGATGGTTGCAGTTTGAGCCAGCTCCAAGGAGAGGAGAACCTGATGTTACCCGAAGAACGCCGGATTATTTCTTATAATTCAGTTGCTCGAGTTACTGATCTGTTGCGGCTGCATGCTGGTTGGGATAAGGTGGTTGCAGGTCCTTACTGTGATTGATTTTAAGATGATCAAACTCAAGCTACTATACCCTTGTTAGTGGTTGTAGGAGGGCCAAATGGCATGTAAAGTGGGCAGATAGGGGCTCCTTCGATTAAATTATGTTCTAACCCTAGTTTCGTCAGATCAAGCAGCAGACTGGCGATGCTATAATGTAACATTTCATGCATGTTCCCCTTTTTTATTTTTATTTTTCTTTTTTCTTTTTATTTTAATATTTTTCGGTCTATTTTTCTCTGGTTTTATATTTGCTGTTTTGTTCTTGGGTTGGTGGGGGAGATGGGGTATTTGTAGAAGTGAGAGGAGATTCAATGTCAATGAGTTGTGTTAAGTTTTTTCCTCCATTTTTTGTTAAATGGATTAAATTGTTATGCATAGCTAATGAACTTTTATTTGCCCTCTACATTTAGTTGTTCTTTAGTGATTAATTACTCTACTCTCCTTTTTCCTTTGAATTGTGTTGGATTGGTTATTGTGTCAAACATTAATCTGCCGAGATTGCTATTGTTAAATTTGTAATGCTCTCGCTTATAATAAGCAATAAAAATCGTGATGACGGTATTTTAAGTACTAGCATTTTGGAGGGAATTAAAGAACTTGGTCTCCTAAATTAGTGGCTCATTTCGGTTCATTTCAAAGCAATGTCAACATTCTTACTTGATCTATTTTTGCACGGATATTTCATGTTAAGACTTTTGCTTACCCTAGTGAAGTTTTTACCAACGATAATTAACATGCAATTGATAGATGTACGCTTCATCGATGCAATTGATAATGTATTTACATTTTTTTTGTTTTTTCTCTCATTGGTGCTTACAATATTTAGGATTAATGATTAAAATGGAAAAAAAATAAAATTCAGAAACTTTTGAATGGCATGTCATTCTATGCAAAATATTACCAAACAACTTGGCAGTTTCTATTACCTGTTTCAGCATTAAAAATGGCATGAATTTCAAGTCTTTCAAGATGGCCCCCTTCTATAGAATCTAACTGTTGTCCCTGGCAACATATTTTACAAGTACTTAATAGTATCATCGTTACTTAAATAGTGGTCCTAGATTTTTTTATTAGGGTGGGCCTAGACTGTGTTGAGTGGGCATATATGTACGCATGGTTTAGAAGTTCTTAATATAATATGAGTTTTTGCATAGGCAACTGTAAGATTATTTCATTATTATTATCGGTTCGGAATAAGAAACAGTCTTTCTCCACACAGTTTAGTAGTGCTATAGTTACGGTCTTCCTGCACTGATTTGTGTACAAGGCAGCTACCCGTTTGTGCTTTCTGTCCTTGAGGTGAATTGGAATATGGATTGCTTTTAGAATGTATGGTTGTGGTATTATATGGACGGGAGGTCGTGAAAGGCAGAGATCACTTCACATGGAATGGGGTTCACTCCGTAATTTTTACGGAGTGAATTTCACCTTTTGTGGAGTGATTTTCGCTATCTTTTATGCAAATAAAAAAAATTTAAGAAAAAATTTCACATTAATGTTCATATATATTGCATATTATTTGCTAATCTTCAAAGGACATAAGCACAAAATTAAGAGTAAATAACCGGATACTGTTATACATGAGCATGTACAATAAAGCTTTTACTAATGAATAGACTTTACAGGCATCAGTTTATATATGGACGACACACACATACGTATGTAATAGGTGCATAAACAGATGATATGATATGTAGGCTCAAAAAAATTCTCATCCGCTTGATCAAAACCTACATTTTTAATTGAAGAACTGGCTTTTTCCGGGACCCTAAATGTGGATCCTTCTTCTTAAGCTTGATTAAATGGCTCAAAATTTTGGCATATCTACTAACCATTCTTTTGAACTTCACTCCATCTATGCCATCTTCTTCTTGTTTAACCACAATTTGAAGCTGCTTCTCTTCTTCTGTGAAGTGTTCGCCAAGAGAAGTAGTCTTTATCAGCTGCTTCAAGCTCTTGTGATCATTTTCTTCTCCTTCATTTGCAGACTTATCTTCAACTTTACAAACACTTTCTTGACAGTCACTTCCTTTTTCCGAATTCATGGAGATCTGCAGATTAGCTTCTTTTTCGAGATCTAGTCGCCTTCTTGTTCTCTTGGACATGGTGATATCATAATGGGGTTTGGTTGGATTGCATTCACTTCCCATTTGAATTGGCAAAACTAGCACAAAATGAAAATTTGCTGTGTGAACTTTGAATGTGGTGTTTGTGTTCACAAAGAGAGAGGAGGCATCAAAGAATGAAAAAAAAAAAAAAAAAAACCCAAGTTAGATTGCTTGGGACTGAAGTATGAATGTGTGGTTATAAGGGATTTGCTTTATATGTAATATATGAATGAAATTTTGGGCATTGAAGAAGGTGGAATGTTTGTTTTCTTATAGTTAACCTATCAAAGCTGAAAGCTAAAGCCACCTAGAAGTATGGCTGAATTTTTTTTTATTTTCCAGCATTTGAAGTTAGGTAGATGCATTGTTGAATATGGTAGAAACTCGAAAATATTGTGCGGTTATTGTAAGTCGTGTGGGAAGAAGTTGCTAATATATATTAAGTGATTCGAAAACTGTGAGCACGGATAATATATAAGACGGATAATTTTTACATAGTTCATTAGATACATGGTTGATAATTTTTTTGAGTAACAATAGTTGAATCAAACTTTCAAAGTGAATTGTCTTACCTTTAAGTTTTGATTAATAATCTTTACCAAATATAAGAAAGTGTATTTAGTATTGATTTTGTAGAATTTCAACGCTATACTTATAATGGTAAAATTTTTATTATTTAAAGTGATGAAATTTCACATGAAGGAGAATTGAATAGAAAATTTATTTAAGGTATTTTAATGGATAAATTAAGCTGACCTCCCATTCTTAATATTCATTACTTTGACATTCTCGAGATTTGACATGTACATTCAACGACTCCCCTAACGTTTCTTTCTGACTAACGTGTTAATCAAGTTTTATAAAATGACAATTTTAATCATCCTTTGTTTAAAATGTAATATAATACGTTATAGTATTATTGACTTTTTACATTCAAATTCACTTTAAGGCTTACGGTGAATAGGTTTAGATGAGGCTAAAAATAATAAATATTGAACAATTTACATATAATTGTCAAAACTTGAAATAACTTGGGTATAATTTACCTACTTATTTATACATTTTGAGGCCAAATTATGGGAGTATAGATATATAAATATTACAGATGCCTTGATAGCTTAGTAGGTTAGTGTCTCCGATAAATTTTGGAATGTCAAGTTTCGATTCTCTACATCTATTAATCTAACTTCTAACATTTCTTATCTTGTATATATATATATATGGGTTAAGTGCAGAAAACACTCATGATATGAGTTAAGTTTCTTGCCTTGAATATATATATATATGGGTTAAGTGCAGAAAACAGTCATAATGTGGGAATCACTCCTGATATGGGTTAAGTGCAGAAAACACTCCTAAGTATACTTTTCGTAACACTTTGAAAAAGTGCGCAATAAACACTCCTAATCAAAATTACCCATCTGATATAAATTAGTGTTATAATACCCATTTCGCCCTTTTATTCTTCTCAAAATGCTCATACAATCATCCTCTTTGCTACAATCATCCTCTGCCAGTCTCCACCGCTGATCCAAACATGTGAGTGAATAATGTCAGACTTTTTTTTATTATTATTATTGTTGATTCCATAAATCAAAATTCAGACAATATAAAGAATGTATCAATCCCTCTACCGAGGTTCTTTCTCTTCTCTCACTCGACGTGAACCGCCGCTCCTCCTCCTTATGCTTTATAGAAATGGGTTTGGTTTGGGGGTCGTGCGGCCAGTACTCCTGGATTGGTCCGATTGCAGACATGTCGGATGAGGACTGACCCTCTTGGTTTGACTCTTGCATCAACATTGCGAAGGAAACCCATATATATTGAGAAGGATTGGCCCTAATGTTACTACCACAGCATGAATGCTTGGGATGAGGAAGACTGTCCCACACCTCCTATCTAATTAAAGATGAGTCATCTTTTGAAAAAACTTCCTCAATTTCCCTTATCAGTGATTAGACTAGTCATCCATCTTTGATAGGATCCCTGGTATCATATAGTTTGCAATTTACTTGATTTATGCTTATGTCTGACCTTCAACCAAAAAACAAATCTCACAAGGGTCGTTTTTACAAAAAAAAAAAATTATTTATATATATTTTATAAAATTAGTAATTTGGTTAAATTAGATTTTAAATGTGTCAGGAAGATTTAATTGCACCAAATTAAAATTTGAGAGGTGTTTTTTATATGTGAGAGATGTGATATACACTATAAACTTATTTCAAGAATGTTTTTGCACTTAACCCATATATATATATATATATATATTACATGGAATATTGGTCTAATGAAAGGTATTAGGAGCAATGAGTGGCATAACTATCACACCATCGTTAAGTTTCATTAGGGCATCCGGTGTGATGCATGTTGTTTGGCGGATTATGTACGTTTTTTAGTCACATCAGTATATAATCATTCCATTTGACGTGATAGGAGATATGACAAAAAATCTATACATAAAACTCGCTATTTTAAAAGAGAAAGAGAGAAAATTGGAGTGGGAGCCACTCACCTTTAATTGCTACCACACTAGCCACAGTTAGGCCATGCACCATGTACCTGCAAACATTTTTTTTTTGTGTGGAGCCACCATTTTGCTATTACTAGCTAAATTAACATGCCATGGCTACATTCATGCCTAGTGAAAGGACTCACAGGGTTTTTCCCTCTCTGGTTGAAAGGACTCAGCCAGTGTTTTTTTACTCCTTTTTTGGAAAGGTAAAGCAATTGTATATATTGTATGATATGTATGAGGCCCAAACCAAGCCCAAGTTAAAGGATTACAAAAGTGGCCCAATGAAAATTAAACCAATAAAAATGATTAAATCTTAAAATCAAAGGGGAGCCAAGGGTCCAGTGGACAGATTTCGACTATTTGCGTTTATTAATCTAACTTTTAACTATTCTTGGCCTGTAAAAAAAGGGGGAGTGCGCCTGAGTGGGGGACCCACATGTGCATCAGCTGCTTCAAGCTCTGATGATCACTTTCTTCTCCTCCATTAGCAGATTTATCTTCAACTTTACAAACACTTTCTTGAGGATCACTTTGTTTCTCTCTAGAGCACGAATTCATTGAGATTTCTTTTTCGAGATTTAATCGCCTTCTTGTTCTCTTGGACATGGTGATATCGTAATGGGGTTTGTTTGGATTGCATTCACTCCCCATTTGAATTGGCAAAACTAAAAAAAAAAAAAAAAAACTAGCACAAAATTAAAATTTGTTATGTCAACTTTGGTTGTGGTGTTTGTGAGGGAATAAAAAATATAAAAAAAAAAAAAAAAAAAACTAAGATAGGTTACTTGGGAATGAAGTATGTGAATGTGTGGTTATAAGGGTTTTGCTTTATAACTAATATAAGAATGAAATTTTGGGCATTGAAGAAGGTGGAATGTTTGTTTTCTTATAGTTAACCTATCGAAGCTAGCTGAAAGGTAAAGCCAACTAGCAGTAGGCTGAATTTTTTTATTTTCCCCCATTTGAAGTTAGGTAATGCATCGTTGAATATGGTGAAACTCAAAAATATGGAAAGAAGTTGTTGATATTGCGGAAAGTATACGAGACAGACAATTTTTACATATTTAGTTGTTTATAATATTTTTGAGTAGTAATACTTCAATCGAAGTTTCAAAGTGTATTTAGTATTTACATATTTAGTTGTCTTACTTACAAGTTTTGATTAATAATCTTTACTAAATATAAGAAAGTGTATTTAGTATCAATTTTGCAGGTTAGACCAAGTAATTTATTGGAGAATATTTTTTATTGGTAGTCAAAATAAACTCGGAATTATTCTTCTCATTGGCTTATGAATTATATTTTGAAGCTCCATCTTCTTCCACCTGTTTTGGGTAGGTAATATTCCTTTTTGGGGGGTAATGTAGGTGATCATTGTATCTTGAATTGACCCAACACAGTAGTAATAACATTTTTGTGGGACTCAAATTTTATTTTCAACAGCAAAAGGCATATTTTAAGATGTAAAATTAATTAATATTAATCAATGCTGAAAGAAAGTGGTCAATAAATGTTGATAAATATGAAATCACAAAATAAAAATAAAAATAAAAATAAAAAAAATCACGTAAATATACACGTTTATTAGTTACTTTTTTTCCTCTTTGTTTAGTATGCCTAACAAATAAATTTTAGTTTGAAAGACAGCAAAAGATAAATATAAGATATATTTCTCCAATTTTCTAATTTGTCTCATTTATATTCAATTACAATGGGCTGTAAGACAGAGTTTCAAAATTTAACTCATCCGATTATATTGAAAACATAAAAAATTCTATTCCATTCACTCGGAAGATAGATATATATATATATATATATATATTAGGAAAAAAATAAATATCTTCCATCTCTTTTAGGAAGGTAATAGTCTCTTTTCGGTTATATATGCAGGTACTAGGTAATAGTCGTGACTTGAATTTGAATCAGCAATAAACTTCAATCAATTTATTTTTCATTATCTTGCTTTAGTATCACATTGAAGGTCCATAATTACACATGCCATATAAGTTTTACATTCAATTAAGCTTAAAATAGCTCGACTAAATGATTTTTCATAAACATAGTGTGATCTATATATGTAGTATATAATTAATATATATCAAGTCTTTTTCTTCTTCTTAGTATTATTATTATTATTATCGTATAAACAGTTTTGTATATATTCTATATAATACGGACACGAACACGATACGAAATGGATTCACGTTAAATTTTTAAAAAATAAGACACGGGTACGACATGAACACGGCTACATATAAATATAAATTTTTATTTTTATACATCTATTCACAGTATTATAAAACTTTAATTCATTTATAATCTCTAGACTGAGAGTTGCTCTTAAATAAATTAAAAAATGAAATTATGTCATTATTGTAATGATTTTTATATCATATATATAATTATTTCACTACTTTGTCATAATAGTATTCATATTATTTTTAAGAGTACCGCATAGGCTTGTGTTAGAAATGTTTTGGAGGCTGGAAGTGTCCACTAAGTGTCCGGAAAGTGTCGGCGAAGTGTCCGAAATAATAAAATTAATTTTTACTTATAGACACATACATAAAGTGTCAGACACGTACTCAAGGAATGTCGGTGTATCACAGATAAGACCCCCATGCTTCCCAGTGTATAATTTCCTACCTTAAGCATAGCATTTGGCTTGTTCGATCTATATCACAAGATACTGTGAAAAAAAGGGTAACCGAATGAAAAGAAATTATTTGACAAAAAACCCCATGAATTATTCCAATGTACTACTTATAGTTCGATATATAAGAACCACACCTACAAAGAGTATTCAATATAGTTGGAATGATCACGTTAATAATTGCATCGAGAATTATCTTCATTTAAAAACCAGTATTAATAATTACATTTTAAAAAAAAACAAGAGAGAAGGCATTTTGGTGGATAAGGAAATTGTGACATTATAATTTGAGGTAGCTTGTCTTCATGGTAGACCATAGTCTATTAACCAAGGGTCCTAACAACATATATAGGAGTAAATATTTTGCATCAAAGAAACCCACTCTAGCTAGCAACCATACCAACCAAAGTACATTTTGAGTTTAAGGCCACAGTTTAATTTTCACATGCCTTAAAGCCATTAATGATTTATTTAAATATTAAAGGTTTATTTGGTTCAATTATTTAAAAATAATTTTCAATAATTTAAAATTTTTGAAAACTATTTTAAGATAATTATAAATAACAGTCCTTTTTTAAAAAATTAAATTTTCAGGATATTGTCAACCAAACATATTTTTATACAGTTTTTTAATTTATATTTTTATACAATTTTTTAATTTTCAGTTATCAAAAAATTAAACCAAAAGGGTACATGATTTTATGTTCAACTAGAAAACACAAAAAATTTTAACATCTTATTTTCTAAGTATAAAATTAGTTGCTAACCAATATTTGAACTTCAATGGAGACATAAGATTATGTTTGTAACTTTAGTTAACCTTCCAAATATATATATATATATGTATATGAGATGAAATTAAGTGATATAGATATAAATATATACTAATAGGTCGGTAGCCTAACGGTAACGGACTTCTACTTTACAAAGAGAAGTCATCAGTTCGAATCTCAATTGAAGCATGTATGTGTTAAATACCAACAATGATATTATATATATATATTAGTCACTTTTTTAGAGTGGTTTAATATACCACCTTTTTTGGCATTGCTTAAGGAGACGTTTGATTTATCATTACCTCCTTTTTATATTACACTTTAATTTGAAGGATTTAAAAAAAAAAAAAAAAATCTGAAGGATGGCAAAAGACAAGACAACAAGGTTTCTATAATTGCAATATTCTAAGTACTTATAACCATGATTGAGAATTGTTTTAAAAATGCATATTTTTCTTGGTCAAAGATTTTTTAATGTGTAACTCTTTAATAATTACGGAATATGTTATATTTGGGAGTATTAAATCAATGTCTTGAATTTGGGGTAGAAAGAATTTTAGTTCAAAATTTGTATTAAATTTTTTTCAATTTCAAATTCAAGGTGCTGCATGAGATTTGGCACATGTGCTTAATGACATCTTTAGCGTTACCAATCCAACAAATGTGTTGATCAAAATTTATAAAATTACAATTTTATCCTTCATTTATATAAAATGTAATATAATATATTATTATAATATAAGCTATAACTTTTTAGGTTTAATTCACTTTAAACTTTCAACGAACGGAAGTAGAGGAGGCTAAAATAATAAACAAATCTTCAAGGATGTCGGCGTAATTTACCTATTTTTTAAATTCAACTTTTCACTTATTTATACGATTTTTTGTTTGAAAGGTACTTATTTATACGATTATGAGGCCAAATTGTGGCGAGTATAGATATATAAATACACTACATCGAATATTGGGGAAATGGGAACTGGGAAGACGTAAGGTGGGACCTAGGAGTAGCTATCACGCAATCGCTGTCCAAACTTAGGAAGTTTCAGCAGCATGGGGGGCTTTTTTCGTGGGGTTGAAAGGACTGAACTGAGCCCCTGATTGCGATCTTTTGTCCAGTAAAGTTTTTGATTGTTGCAGTTGCAGAAACGAAAAAGGAGTGTTTCCATTCCATCCAAAATCAAATCTTCTATTATACTTCAATGACACAACTACCCTTTTCCCTTGCTTTGCTTTATATCCACAGTTCATCAAACTAAAGATTTAAAGTTTCTAGCCTCAATCATTACGTTATCCCCACAACCCCCATTGCCCCCACAACCAGCTCCTCATTGTTGTCACTGTCTATTACATTCTTACAACACGCAATTGTAAAAAGTTTTACATCTTTTGTTTTTAATGGCTTTAGTAATATTTGTTTAATTTATAAAAATAATAATAAGAATACTTGCATGTCTCTCACTAAAACTTAAAACCATAAACTCCCTTTTAAAAGAAAAAGGTGAATGATTAATCCTACAAACCCGATGGAAGCCAATGATATTGAAAATGAATAAATTATAGAAATTAGGGAAAACTAAGTAGGATTAAGAGTTTTAAATAACAAATTGATCAATTTTAAAAGTTAATTTTTCACATTGATTAAATTAAACAAAATAATTACAAATGCATCAAGAATTATTGCTAAGGTCTGAAATGTCCTCACACTTTTATTACAAAATACAAAAATATCCTTATTAAAATTGTTTAATTTCAAATATTAAAATAAATAACTATAAATTAGTTTAACTAGCAAATAAAAATTATCCATCTCTTCTTTTCGTCGTCCATCACCGTTGGATTACCTTTTGGAATTGATGTCATCTGATCTGAAAGGTTAGAATTGAAAAGGGAAGCTCTACAAGCTTACTATGGCAGTGATGGTATATCACATAGAAGATTTTTCAATTGTTACCTAAAAGAAGCTATTATTATTGTTAATACATTAGAAGATAAAACATATAATGGGATTTATTAAGGATTTCATATCCTAACAGTAGGGTAATGAAGTATTAAAATATCCACTTGTCTTTCTTTTTTGTTGTTCAGAGGAACCCTAAATTCATAAGATATAACATACTTCTAAACCTACAGAGTCCTAGATCTGAAACTCCTGAACAAAAAAATAACATATTTATATTTATATGTGTGTGTGAAGAGAGAGAGGGAGGGGGACCTAGAAGACTTGCAAGGTGGGTGATGCCCTGGACGTTGGTGGCTGATTGACGACGAAGGTAAGTAATAGAAAATTATTATTCACTAGTCAAACTAATTTTTAATTATTTATTTTATTATATTGAAATTATATAATTTTAAGGAAGATATTTTGGGATTTTGAAATAAGATTGTGAGGATATTTTGGACCTGAATAATAAATATCGATGTATTTGTAATTATTTTGCTTAATTCAATCAATATAGAAAATTAACTTTTAAAATTGATCGATTTGTTATTTATGACTCATAACTTTACCTATGTGTAATTTTCCCTAAATTATATATAAAAACGGTTGCAATGTTGACGTGCTATAATTCAATGCTATAAATATTCTATCAAAATAAAGTGGACCTATAATACAAAATTGTAAAAAGTTTTAGATTTTTTGGACTTGCTTGGTTTGTTACTATGAAAACAGTTTTCTGAGAAAACAAGAAAATAGTAAAAAAATCTCTATTTGGTTCAATTTTTAGAAAACTATTTTATGAAAATTCAGTTATAAAAATATCTGTTTTCAAAGAATAATAAAAAATTATTCTATCTATTCTCTGAATTCTTAATAACAATTTTTAAAGGTTTTAATAGTACTCCGTATTTGTTAATTTATAATAATAATAATAATACTTGAATGTCTCACCAAAACTTAAACCCATAACCTCCCCTTTAAAAGAAAAAGGGAAATGATTAATCCTCCATGATTAATCCTCCAAATCCGATCCTCCAAATCCGATGGAAGCCAAGAGTATTGGAGATGGATATATTATACATTGCAACGATTATAATGCTCACGTGGTACAACTCAGGCTACAAACACTCTACTAAAGCAAAGTTGACTTACAATACAATCAAAAAAATTGATTTGTTTGCTTTGGCAAAATGTTTGTAACTCTCAATTGTATCATGTCAGCTTTATAATTGTTGCAACGTATAATTTCTCGAGTTCAGATTATCTACAGTACGACACGAGAGATAAATGCACTGAGAGTTAACTAAGAGATTTGTTCTATAACACTTGGCATTTGTCTGCATTGCGGGAGTAGTTACAAAATTGAAGTAAAATTCAAAAAATGAAAATGTAGATGTTTGTTTTTAAAGTGGCAAAGAAATGAAAATAAAAGAAGCTAAAAAAAGTTAGGTTATTATTAACTAACCCCTACTTTGTCATTTTACTTTATTCCCGTTAAATGAGGAAAAATGATAGCTTTTTAAAAGGAAAGTAATTAACTTGTTTAAATTTTCTTTTAACAAGGTAAATAATTTTTTTTTAGTCTTATTTATTTTTTTTTTTTATTTATTCGTATAATTTGTTTCTTTCTTATCAAAGGTATACTTGAATGGTACACATCTAGTACTTTAAAAGTAAAGATTGAGAGTTCAAATTTCTCAAAATAAAGCCGTTGTTAGTTTTATTTTATTTTAAAAATTGTTCACTTTCTTTTTCAAACACGATGAAAAGGTTCACAACTTTTTCCTTTTCTTTTCCTTTTATAATTATACAAACAACAAGATTGAATTAATAATATCTTTTAAATTTTATTTTATTTTCATTTTTATCTAATAATAGGTAACTCTCTCTATATTAAAACAATTAGCAAAACTATCCGCTCTCAATATATATATATATATATATATATATATATATATATATATATATTTTCTCCTTATTGCCAATTTATCATCACTCTTGCTTAGATGTCTTTGACTCTTTGGGTAACATTGGTTTGATTTAAGAGTAATGTTAAGAATAGTGGCTATAGGAATGTTAAGCACAATCGCTCTAGCCCTGTCTTTCACAATTGCTTCATTGAGTAGTTGTAAAATGAATCATAAAAGTTCAAAAAATTATATTTATTTATTTATTTAAATATTAAAAATGATAATTTTTCAAGGATAAAATTACCCTTTCAATATTTATATCTTTCATCGGCCTTTTCTTCATGTACATACATATAAACAACTAATCTGGATATATATATATATATATTAATCCAATTGGCTTTACTTTCACTCAAGCTTTTCACAAGTAGATGGATTCTATATATACAAACAGGTTTTCGTTATCATAAGTTATAGTTGAAGTAAAATTATAAAATTGAGTTTTAGTTAGTTTGTGAGTAGGGCTGCAAATGAACCGAGTCGAACTGAGTTTTAGGCTGCTCAGGCTCGGGCTCGTTTACTTATTGTTCGGTTCGGGCTCGTGACGAGCTCAAAAAACTGAGCTCGGGCTCATTATGTATTAAAAAGTTCAAGCTCGGCTCATTTAAGAAAATAAATTGAATTTATAGTTAAATTTTTTTCAAGCTCGTTTTCGAGCTCGCCAATTCGTTTAGTAAATTATTTCATATTTATGTTATACTTTCAAAAAAAAGAATTTCATTAAAAAATAAAAATAAATGTAAAAGAGCTCTATAACAATCCTACAGTTCATAAGCATAAACGATCTTACACGAACTCATGTTCATAAACATAAACGAGCCTACACGAGCTGAACCAATCATTGCTCATGATCGACTCGTTTACTAAACAAGCTTAGAAATTAAACTCGAGCTCGAACTCGGCTCATTTGTTTAACGAGTCCAAATTATTTATGAACAGCTCCGTTCATCTGCAGCCCTATTTGTGAGGGGGAGATGGGATAGGTTTGTAAAAAAAAAAAACTAAAAAAAATGGAGAGTCATGCTGGTGACGTGATCATAATAAAAAATAGATAAAGCAGGTCATATATGCATACATACATATATCGATAAACCACTAGTAAAGAGACAATTTAAAAGAAAAGAAAGAATCCATTGAAAAAAACAAAGAAGGAAAGGGAACGATTCACGCTGAAATTTAGCTTTTTATATATTTATATATCTATATACACGTATTGTAATTTATTGCAAAAATTAGTTAGCATATATAGTATATATACATACGGAAGGAATATCAATTTTAAAAGGGCAATTTTATCCCTAAAAAGGTACTATTTTTAATGTCCAAATAAATAAAAGAAATATAATTAATTAGTTTTAATAACTGATTTTTCAATCAATCAATTACGAGTATAATTCTTCTTCATTTAATTATGAAAATAATTCAATTTTTTTTTTAAATTTTTAATTTTTTGAATTGCGTGTATAAGGCTCCAATCTCCCATCCCTATCTCATTCAACATTCTTTAATATTTTAAGCAGTGAGTGTCAATACATACACACTGTATAATACTATAATTTCTTAAAGCTTGTCCACATTAGCTTTGTTGTTTACTGGTTTGTCCCATTGGATAAAAACACAAGAATAATAACCTGAACCCATTTCTCTTTCGTCTCTTCCTTTCTCTCTCATCATCTCTGCAACTCTGAAACAGAGCACATCTCGATTCGACACCTGTTCACTCCTCTCCAAGAAAGCGATAGCTCCAATGACGTTTTGAGATTCGATACGCCAGCCCATTTGCCCAATCTCTCTCTAAACACTCCCACCACCACTCCCTCTCTCTAGGCCATGGTGGTGTTGCTTCTCTCGCAGAACACAACCACCCATCACCGCCATCAATGGCGTCGCTAACACCCGGCGTCTTATCCAAGCTGCTGCAGAATGTGGACAACAGAGATGTCAGAGTTGCCGGAGAGCACCGATCGGCGCTCTTGCAGGTCATCGGAATCGTCCCCTCTCTCGGCGACGATCCCTGGCAGAGCAGAGGCTTCTTCTTGAGAGTCTCCGATTCGGTGCATTCGGCTTACGTTTCCATCTCTGACGGAGACTCCGATTTGATACTGAGTGACAAGATCCAACTCGGCCAGTTCATTCACGTGACTCGGCTCGACTCGGGCTCCCCTGTTCCGGTGCTTTGCGGCGTAAAGCCGGTGCCGAGGAGGCGACCCTGCGTCGGGAATCCACAGGATCTGATTTCTAGCGATTCGCTGCCGATTCGGACTCGGGTCGATTTTTCGAAGAAAGGGTTTAAGGGTGTGAAGAGAGTGGAGTCCAAAGCGATGACGAAGACGAAGAGATTGGTGAGTGAGGAGACAAAGTTGAGACGGCTTTCTTTGGGAAATGCAAAGGTTGAAGGGTCCGAATCGAGAAGATTGAGTTTTGATTCGGCTCGGAAGGGATGGGATCGGAGTCCCGGGAATAAGAACCCTATATCCCGTTTCAAATCTAAGAACACTTCAACTTCTTCAGATTCTACTTCTGTAAGTTATGTCTATATATATATATTGTGCGTGTATATGTAAATTACTTCCTCTGTTGTTCATTACTTGTATAGCTAATTTTTTGTTCTTATCATTTTTGTCAGTGTTTGATGTTTGATTGAAGACTAGTGAGATTATAGCATTGGCATTTACATTTTGTGTTGCACAATTTCATTATGTGTTCCTATGTGTGTATATATAAATTACTTCCTCTGTTCGTTATTTGTATTGCTAATTTTTTGTTATTATTGTTTTTGTAAGTGTTGAAGTTTGATTGAGGACAAGTGAGATGCGTTGTCATTTTCATTTTGTGTTGAACAGAATATCCACCTTTTGTGGTTCTCTTCTCTTTTCTCTTTCCGTGGAACTTTTTTTGTGTTTGGTTTTGTCTTTGAATTTCCTAATGGTTGTCTTTTATTGGTTTGGTACTTTTGATACTAATGACTGAGAGTTGAACCCTTCTCAAAACCATGAATTTGGGTAGCCCGGCACACGAGGCTCCTGCCATTGCAGGCTCAGGGGAGAGTCACATGTACGCATTACCTCCACATGGAGAGGTTGTTCCCGGTTTCTAACCCTTAACCTCTAGGTCACATTGGAGTAATCTTACTGTTGCGTCAAGCCCCACCCTCTCCCAAAACCATGAATAGTTGAAAAAAATACGTCCTCTGCTTTGAAATCTAATTTTTTGGGGGGAAATTTGATTGTTGAACAGGGGCAATCTCTTAAAGTTTTGTGCTGATGCTTTCTTATGACTAAAATTATATTCTTTTATGTTTCTGAAAGATTTTTAAATACATACTATAATGGGAGAGAAATAGACTTGTTTTAATTTCTTATTTTCACCAATCCATGAATGAACTATTTTGGCTGATTGTTCCAACTTGATCTGCTCAATACGAGTTCTATGTCATGTATTTGTTGTCTCTTGTATGTCACATTTGACTTTCAAATTGTGTTTTGGTCCTCTGCAGATTTTATCTGATAAGAAGGCTTCTCCTGAGAACTTAGGGAAAAAAAAGGTTTCTCCTGAGAAGGGCTTGACATTGAAACACCCAAATCTGAGCATTTCACCACTTAAAAGCAAGAACAGTACTGAATCACATAAATTGAAACACCCAAGTCTGATCATTTCACCACTTAAAAACAAGAACAGTGCTGAATCAAATAAATTGAAACACCCAAGTCTGCTCATTTCACCACTTAAAAACAAGAACACTACTGAATCACATAAATTAATAAGCAAACCTTTGAAAAAAGATTCATCGCTTGATGGCGCTATTCCAAGCCGTCTTAACAAGGTGCCCCTCAGTTTTAAAACTTGGTCTGACCGGAAGATATCTTGGGATTTGCTTCCACCTACCATTCAAGATCTTGGAAAGGTATGCAATTAAATGTTTCGATGTAGCTTTCTAGTTTGTAGCATGCCGAAACCGTGGTTTGATGTAGTTCAGGATGACTTTCAGGAAGCCACCTGTCAGAGAAATGTTGCATTTCTTGCTGCTGTACGTGCAGTAGAGGAAGCATCAGCTACAGAGGGTGTCATTCGATGCATGAGGTACTCCATTTGTCTTCTTCATATTTTGCGTTAACTTGTTGCAATAGTTTGTACATTGTTTGAATTATGATTTTTTAAGCTTAGCCAAGTGAGTTCGAGGCCTGGTTATGTATATTGCTTAATGCTTGGTACTTGTATTTAAATTGCCATTGTGGTTTCTTCTACTTCTCTATAGTATTAACCATCTAATTGAATATGCATTGATTTTCGTCATACATAGTCAACCTATGGTGATTGATTTATTCTCTCTATATCTATCTTGCTTACGGCTTTTAAAAACAGCATATTGTTTTTTTATTTTATTTTATTTTATTATTATCTTGGATTACTTAAAAATCCTTACTTGTCTAAGAAAATACAAGTATTGTTTAAGTTACTTGTATTTTATAGCTTTTGTTTAGGTTGTGGTTCCCAAAGATGCAACAGTATTCATGCTATGGTCCTTTAGGAAAAAAAAAAAAAAAAAATAGGATTGTTAAGCAAGAGTTGGTGTTAGGTGAGTGGAAGTCTTAACTACTGACTTAATTCCTGAACAGGAAACACTTGCCCAAACCAACGGGCAGTGGCCTAGTGGTATTAGGCTCCTACTTCCCCAAGAGAGGTCAGGGCTTCAAGCCTTAGTGGATGCATGTGTGTGTGAGTACCAACTAAGAAAAAAAAAAGTAAACACTTACCCAAGAAATCTGAGCAAGCAACTACATCATGTGGTTCCCTATACATTATATGTTGTCCTCACAAATCTGTAATCAGTTTACCTTTTTTTCCCCACAAACTGAATACAATACGAACAACAAAACCTTTTTCTCCACAAACTGAATATGCAGACAATATTCATATAGAAACCCCTTCTATTTTCTTCTTAATTAGATATTCCCTATGGTTTAGTTATGTTAAAAGTGGAAATACTTTTTCATAAAGACAGGACTGTATTGACTTAGGGCACTAGATTATTGAGTGATGCCTCCGCATGTTTGACAAAATTGCTGGAAACATCTCATAATTCTTTTTTGTGAAATAATTTTCCTATAGATGTGTGCTGGACATGGCATGTTTTAGTTTGTTATCTGTGAAACAAGTTTTGGCCAGCATCACTGGCACGGTCTGCTTGAATTAGTTTGTTTAATGTGGTAACTAAAGGATGAATTAAGTACTAGTAATTATTATGAAAAGAATTTTGGCCCATGAGAAAAAAAATCAGTTTTCTAATTTTGTTCTGTTGTTCAAGCTTGCTAGTGAAGACGATTTATTTTCTTTATCCAGCATTTTTGCGGATATGTTCGAGTTGTCCCAAAAAGATTCTGCAGGACCACTAGTCGAACAATTTTTGAACTTTCATCAAAGTATGCAGAAAGCAGCAGCTCTAGTTGATACCTTGCTCAGCACAAGGTTTTCTGAAGTGAATTGCCGCACCTATTGTAGCTCAAAGGGTCCATTGCCAGAAGTGTGTAAAAATTTGACAAATAAGAATGCCGCATCTTGGATTCAAGCTGCTGTTGAGACTGATCTTTCCAAATTCAGTTTGTTCACAAAGGAAGAAAAGAGGGATGTTTTAAATGGTGAAAAAAGCCACTATGTTGTCTTAGAGAACACCCCAAAGAAAATAGAGTCGGAGAACCATTCACCTCAAAACAAGATAAGCCCTAGAATACATCGTGGCATTGCATCAAATTTAAGTGCAAAGGGGTTGTCTTCTCATTCCAGGCAGCATCTTGCCACCACAAAGAAAACAAATATTGAAAGCGAAGAGTGGTCTGAGGGAAATGGCTTAAAACAAGCGGCAAGTTTGGCAGAAAAACTGCTCTCTATATCTCATGCATGGTTCTTGAAATATTTGGAAGATTCATTAAACAAGGGATTTGGGTTGAGTAGAGGGGAAGGAGGGTCTGAAGTTGCTGGTCTTCTTGGGCAGCTTAAAAGGGTTAATCAGTGGTTAGATGACTCAGTTGGGGATGGATGTGGGACTGATGAAAGGATAGAAGGCTTACGAAAGAAATTATACGAATTCCTACTCGAGCATGTTAATGCTGCCATTGTTGCTAGTAAGTAGTATGGTGAGTAACAAACTAACAGAACATTTGGCAACGCATACTTTACTGATCCATTTCAGGTTTGGGTTTAAATTGGTATACATACTATTAGGGTGCTAGTTTGTTGTCCAGAAGTTACCTCTAAAGATCATTTAACTGTTCTGATTCTCCAACGGTTTTAACTTTAACTGAACGATGGTATAGAAAAAATTGATTCCGACTTGTCTGCCAACTATTATTCGAATGTATAGTTGAAATTTAGTTGGTTCCATGTTCTCTTCAAATGCTCTGAATGTTGGTTTTTTTAGTGTAATGTTCTTAGTTTAAAATCTCTATTGCATCTATATATTAAACAGATGAAAATGTGAATTAGCAAAGCGCTTGTTTTTCCATGATTCCATTTTCTGGGACTGTTGAACTTTCTGATGCAATGGATGATAGTATGTGTTTTGTCGGAGTAGTGTCGGAGTAGATATTGGGTGAGCCGGGCTTACTTACCACGTCTTTGATATTCCATTGAATCATTCCATCTTGCCATCAAGTTGAGAAGAAATCTCTGGTTGGGCATACTGATGTCACGGTCTTCTCGTTTTGTCCAGCCACAAACAACAAGACCTGGTATTAATAGGGCAATCAAACTCCACAAGGAGGAGAGCAAGAGAAGATTATTAAAGTTACTTAGTTTTGTAACTTTACAATGAGAAAGAAAGTTGTATGAGTATAAGAATTATATAATCATAAAATTACAGGAATTTACTTGGGACAAGCAATAGCTTGAAATTTAATTCTGGTTAAAAGAATCCATTGACAAGCTCTTTGATGGTGATTTTATCTCAAAAGCAGCAGCAAAACTAACACCCTTTGCTGAGGCCTTGGTTCCCTTACAGGACTTCATGTGTGTGTGCATTTTCTTCGGAATGAATGTCTTCCCACATTGCCTGCATTGGATTAGGCATGTTTTAGGTCACAAACCACTTTTGTGTTGATGAACACAATAAAAGGTTGGCCTAACGAGGGAAGGAATAATCTTTTGAGGGAGAGAATTTTTTTTTTTTTCTCCCAACGTTAAAGTAAATGCACATACACTCACAATATTAATTCTAGCATGATTTGATGATAACATCTAAATCTAGCATGATTTGATGATAACACCTAATACGAAAGCATTTTAAAAGTTCAATTTGTCAAAAACAAAGTTCCTATTGAAAGAATATAATGTTCAAGTCCAATGCTTGGGCTAAAAATGTCTAATTATGTGTGTCTGTCACATATATGAGAGCAAACCTGCACTTAGCAATAGGTCCAATGTCACCATTATATACCAATCAATGCCAAATTCTTCTTTTTTTTGGGGAAAAAAAAAAAAAAAAGGTTTTGGGTTAATTTTATTTATTTATTTATTTTATTTATAAAAAAGGGTTGTTTTCACATTTGTTGGATTCTAAAGATCTAATCAAAGTTGAATCTTGGACTCCGAGATTCCCCTTGGTTGGACTTGGACCCATTAGATTGACCACTCCAAGTGCACACATACAAACTAATATGATTGGTGCATATTTTATTGAACAAGTAACTATCAACCATACTATATTGACCTTAATGCCCCTTGATTTATAGGACTCATGGTTGGGTACTCTGGCCAATTCACAACCAAACTGGATTTGGTAAGTTCAACTTACGAGCAATTCGGCCCATTGACTGGCTTGTAAGCAGCAAAATTCGGTTTGGTGTTACTGAATTCACTCTCCTTGTTCTTCTTTGAACTCTTCCCCCCGTCACAGCTTCTCCTGTCAACCATATACTCTCACCAATTAGCCAAACTAAAAGTCTATAACAAATATCACATCTATATATATATATATAGATACATGTGTGTATATATATATATATATATATATATATATATATTTGTGTGTTTATACATACATGTGTGTATATCTTGAAAGGAAAATGATATATAGTCGGGGAGATAATAATGCCTCCCCAGTCACACAAAAACAGTCAGACAGTTCCGACTATCGGACTCATATTAATTCAAATTAATAAATAATGATCGACTTACCGAGCACTATGGTGGTGGTGGATTTGATTGCAAGGGGTCCCAAAAATCCTCTCAGACCCTCCAACCTTCTCTCCTTTGCAAATCAATGGCGTAGAATCACTGTTAAACACACTCAAAGAACTCCTGTCACGCCGGTTGATCATCGCCATTGTTGAGTCCTTAGTGTCCACAGCACCACAAGTGATCAAGTTTCGGAACACCTGAGAAGCTCCATTAGAGTAGCTTTTGCTCTTGTTGAAGGAAGAGGAGTGAGACCACGCCGACGAAGATGTTGATGATGATGAAGCCGGTGTACTAATCTTTTCTTTGTCACCATTGTTGTTGCTGCTGCTCTTCTTCTTACTCTTCTTGCTCAAAAGACTAGAATACAAATGAGAAGAATTCTCAAACTTGTCAATTTGTTCGTGTGATTCTTGTTTTGTTGTATCCGAATGCTTCTTTTCCTCGACCTGAACTAAATCATCCGCTAAGTTTGATGTCTCGGAGCCGAAAACAGGAGACTCTTCTTCGATTTCAGATGATGTTTTCAGTGGTATGTCCATTGTAGCTTGTGAATCACCTTGAATTGCTTCTTTAGAAGAGTGTTTGTGGTCTTTGGCCTCATTTTCAAGATGTTGAAGAAGTGACTTATTTTGCATGGAAACTTTCTTTTCACCATATGAATGAAGATCTGTTGTAATTAAATTAGAAATTATACGTATTGACTATTTTTAAATTAAATGATTATTTGAACCAAAAAAAAAAATGATTTACCGCAATCAAGGGTATTAGAGACAATTTCGGATCCTTTGAGGATATATTCATTGTCAGAGATTGGTGTGATGAGATCCTCATCCAGCAAATCTTGCCATACATAACCTGTCCTGTACCTCCTGCACTCAAAAAATCATATACGTCAAATGCTATACACACACACACACACACACACACACATATATATATATTTTTTTTTTCAATGATTTTCGTGCAGAAAACCGAATAACATAAAATTTTACATGAAAATGTACCTTTTGTAAGACCAAGAAAATGATTCAGGCATGTCCTTTCCTCGCAATTCCGAAAGCCATCTCTTAACATCTGTTTTCTCCAACAATTAAACCAAAACCCATGAAGCCAAACAGACAATACACACATATATAAGAGATTAAACTATGATAATGAAGAAATTAATCAACCTTGCAAACGAACACCATTTCGAGAGAGATGGTGGACTCGAATGAGATGGGGATGTTCAATCCGACCCTCACGGCTGAGAAAGTAGACAACGTGAAGGCGTCTCACCTCACCACCACCGCCACCGCCGCCGCCACAACCTTGTCCTTGGGCCTCCATTCTTCTGTACAAATGTCACACCACAAAATGATCATCGAGAAAGAACACATTGATCTTCTTTTTAGGCAAATTTAAATTAACTAATTTGAAAAATAATAATTAAATATAACAATCTAAGCCCAATAACAATCTTTGTCTATGCTAGGCCTGCTGTAGAAAAAATCCAATAACATAACAAACTCATCGTGTTTCATCACCAATTCATTAAAAAAACAAGTGAAATTTTTGTGCAGACACAACAAACATATAGAATTGATATAGAAATGATAAAAATTGCTCACACTTATCAAAAGAATAATTGGGTTTCGAGATTAGCAATGGTCACTTTCTATGTAGCAGGCGAGCACACACACTCAGTGTTTGTGTGCGTGTGTGAGAGAGAAAGAGAAGAGAGTAGAGTCTATATTGATGCTCAAAAGGTGGATGGTGACCAGATTCGTAACTACCAGTATAGTAGTATAGCTACCACAGTAGATAAACTTGGGTCCCCAAGAATTTAATCTGATTTCACGCGATATGCTCAACTTAATATAGTTTTATTTATATACCTTGTCAGCTTTTTACCATATTTATTACACTTTCCATAGTTACTAGAAAAAAATTAAAATGAAACATATATATATATATATATATATATAATAGGTGTTCTGAGTATGGTTTTATCATATTTCCAACTCAATGACACATTTATTACTCTCTAGTGTCATCAAATTGGAAGAGAATCTACTTGCCCCTGCATATCTATTAGATATATATATATATATAGCATGTCATTTTCATTCAGAGTGCAGCATATATACGTTGTTGGTAAATAATTCCAAATAGAAAAATGCTTCTAGGGCATGTGTCCCACTTTAAACAATCCAACGGTTAGGGTTTTCGTTTGTCCAATCATAGCCATTGGTATTATCAGTCAATAAAAAATACATCATTAATTAAAATTTTCTCACCTATTTATATAAGGAAGGGAGTGACATGACATCAATGGTGGGACGTGGCCTCATCACGGGCGGAGTCGGAAATTTTACTGGTCGGAAAAAGAAAAAAAAGAAAACAAAAAACTGAAAACATTTATAAATCAATTGACCATAAATTTCTTTATAATATCTTTCTTATTAGTATATATATTGAAAAAAAAAAAAAAAGAGTTGAATTTGTCAACAGAAACATGGAACAGAGCAAGCTTCACCTTCTCACAATTCGCTCTTCTTCACAAAGCCCAATTCCTCCTTTAATTCCATTGCTGCAACCACTCAATCCTTTTTAATTTGTTCCGATTAGACGTCTCTTTTTTCGCCTTTTGTTATCTCCAACTTCATATACTGAAATTCAGAATAAAAAAATTCTAGTCACTCCTAAAAAATTAAACATATATGTATATATAGATCGACCACCAAAGTTTCACTGCATATTAGCTAACTTGCATGGAACCCAATTTGGCAGGATAATAATAAAAAAAAAAATGACAATTATATTTTAAGAAACTTTCATGGACAAAAAAGTTAGATTCACAATTCATTTACTCATCACCAAAGTTTCAACGAACATTTGTTTTCTTTTTAAAAAAAATTTATGTGAAAGTTGCAATTATATATTCTAAACCCACAGAACCAAATTACATATAAGCTAGAATTTCTATGATCAATGTCAAGTTTGGATTTTTGAAGCTAAAAGTATTCACTTCAGTTACTCACTCACAAAAATAATAATAATAATGAAGGATGAACAACTTACATCTCTTGTTTTATGCTTGAAAACAAAAATCTCTTCTTGGCAAATTCTTGAGAGAAACTTCATAGTTTTTTCATATATATACATACATATATATATGTGTGTGTGTGTGTGTGTGTGTGTAGAGAGGGAAGGGTCTTTAATCAGTTGTCATGGGAACTCATTTGATGGTGAAATCTACGCACATCCAAAAGTGTGCGTGCCGTTTCAGCTCAGACACAAACAGTAGCAACTAGCAACTGTGTATATATATATAGATATATATGTATGTATCTATGTGTGTGTATATATTATTTATAAACCAATGAAGATCGAACCAATCTTTGTTCATGTCGTTTACTTCACAGTTTATAGCAAGAACTTAGAACGACGTCGTGCAGGCTGATGAAGATGTGAGAACACGATAAATGGGTTATGACAACCCCTCCATCATTAGTATTTCTTTAAGGGTTTGTTTGGTTGTCAAGAATTTTATGATAACAACATCGTAACAGATCATTGCGAAGGTTGGATTGGAAGGAATTATGGACGTTGAAGCTCTAAATTATTTTCATCAGATATGCAAATCAATTAGATTATTCAAATATTCTTTATTTAAATTTTTTTTCCCCTTTTAATAGGAGGCCCCCATATTATAATAAAATCAATGGAAAATTGTTTGAACTTTGAAGGCAAGTTGGAGTCATTTTCAATTTGAGTTTTATTATTCCAAACTCTGAAAATGAGAAAGCTATGTTTCTTCTTAAATACATATGTTTTTGATCCACAAATATATATATATATATATATTGATAAGCCATATTAAGTTTGTAATTATGTAACATATAGTTTTTTACTAATTCAATGCAAATTGAATTTTGACTAAATCACTCCAATTACCAACACTTTTATGACAGAATTATAACATATTAAACTAATTAATCAGAGTTTTTGGGCCGTCCGAGTAGCAAGACATAATTACTCATTTGTTTTAAGTTTATGAATAAGTGAATAAATTTATTTGGGATCTACATGTAATTTTGTTGATGCTTAATTATTTTTTTGATCAATTGTTGAAACATATATATATATATATATAGCAGGAGGATAATATAATGGGTTGAGAAAGGAATCAAACAAAATTTATTAAACATATCATCAAATGTTGTTAAAGAATTCTTTTGGCACGGGTACAAAATTGTACATAGAACATTAGGTTCAACTTTTCAATCAGCAACTAATATTTGCCCTTCCCTATTTTGAAGAAATACCATTTAGTCGAATCTGCTTTTTTGTCACATGCACACAATTTTAATAATGTATCAAATAATAGCTCCAACAAAAAATTGCTTGGCTTATCAAGTAATTGCTTGATTAAATAAAACAAACGAACAAGGTTTCTTGATCATCCATTTTTAAATTTTTATTTTTTTGATGAACTAATTCTCTATTTTATTGATTTATTGCAATTTGCAAATATATTATGATGGAACAATTGTACTGTGGTTGGGCTGATTCTTGTTCCAAGAGCAAACTGACGTAGCAAATAATGCACAATCTTACAAAAATTTAAATGTGGTTGGTGACCCATTAACCTCCATTTACAACTAAACGGATAGTACCCAAATAATAATAATAATAATAATAATAATAATAATAATAATTATTATTATTATTATTATTATTATTATTAGGAATTTTATACAGTTTTTTGCCTTTCCACGCTCTTCATTAATTATTTTTCTTTTTTAATAATTTTTCCCCCTTCTATAAAAAGAAGATCCTTTACTATGAATCGGACTATTGTAATGGGTGGATGTTTGAGCATTAATCCAAAAACTTATACTCATACCCACCTATTTATAGACAAGCTGCCCCCTATAATATTCCATCTCAACAAAATTTCTAGGAGTATGCAAAAAAACCATCAACGCAAAATACCAAATCGGACATGACCGAATCAGGCGGTCTGGGTCGGTTCCATAGCAGTTTGGTCCGGTCACGGTTGTAAAATAATGGAATCGTAAATTTTTGGTTCGGTCCTGAATTAGGGTACTACATACAGGACTGGACCGGTTGTGACTGAACCGTTATAATATGTGTGTGTGTGTGTATATATATATATATATATATATATATATATATATATATATATATATAGCTATACCTATATTAATATATATACTACTCTTAACTTTGTAAGAGATTTCCCCACAATGATCAAACTTGAGCCAACATTCATCACTGTCTGATATTTTTTTATTTGCTTTTGCTTCTTCTATTGTTTTGATTTTTGAGTGCATGCCAACATTCCTCCACTATCTCTTTTCTTTTTCTTCTTCTTTTTCTTCTTCATCATCACGAGATCCAGTTGTTGATCAATGTCTCTTACGCAACCTTCGAATTTCGGTCATCACCGTCGATCATTTATCGTTGTCGTCGGTGATATCCTTTCTCACACTCTCTTCCCTTCTCTCTCATTTTCAGTTCACAGACCTCTGAGTCTCACGACGTGTTTACGCTTTAAGCACAACCAACAACGACAACGAATCAAGTTTTTTAGTTTTTAACCACGGATTTGTCATCCTTTGCAGTTTTAGCAAGATCCAACCTTATTTTAATTTTTAGGGTTTAACTTTTGGGTGTATTTCACTCACTTTCCCCTCTTTTTCTTTCTATTTTAGTTTTGGATTCGGGAATGTGAATGCTTTTATTGTTATTTTTGTTATATATACAATTCTAAGGGGAGGAAAAATCAACTAGAACCGTGAAACCAAACCGAACCAAACTTTTTTTTCACAAGTTGGGTTGGTTCGGTTTCATGGTTCAAATGGTCTGGTTTGGTTTCAGATTTTTTGGAATTGTAGGGAGTGATTTGGTTCAAAAAATCCTTAAAACCGGACCAAACTGGACCATGTGCACGCCTGAAAATTTTACATTATTCTGAGCAATTGATTCATCTCTTTTGATCTTTGAGAAATTTATTATTTATTACCATAATTTGCAGCATGAAAAATCACATGCTGCAACTAAAATAAATTATTTGTGAAAGAGGAGAGATGCCTTTCATGGGCCCAATAAACACTGGAACTTTCAGGCCAAGCCCAAGTAGGATAAGATAATGGATTGCGTTTTATAGGCCGAGTTGCATAAGTCTCACAATTTGCGTGGAGAACAAGGCCACATTTGTGGCTTATCAGGGAAGCTAAAATTTGAGCCTATATAAGGCCATGTATATGTACTACTTTGAGACATACTTGAATAAAAAGCTTTTCATTCTCTCTCTCTATGTGAAATTTTTGCTTTTCATTTCTCTCATAATATTACTATATATATATATATATATATATATATATATATATATATATACATATATTTATTATACGTTATCAACACGAGCTCTATCTATCTCAGATTTGAAAAAGAAGCTTTCTCCCCCTCTTTCTATATTAACTATATATCTTTTTTGTGATATTAGTTTTGATAAATTGTTGGGTTTGTTTGCTTTATCGAAGAAAATTGTATTTCTGACTTCAAAGGGTAAAAAAAATTTAATTATTGATTATTGTTCATAAAATAAATTTGTTCACTTAAAAAAAAATATGTGTGCTCATACTATTGTCGGTTCTACCACCTTTATTATTTAATGATCTATTAATTATGGTCGGTTTACCACCTTTATTATTTAATGATTTATGACCGGTTTTTACCGCCTTTATTAATAATTTATTCACTATGGTTGGTTTTACAGTCTTTGTTATTTAAATAATTTATATTATGTTATTGTTTTCACTTAATGTCATTTTATTTATTTATATACTATGCTAAATTGTATTTTTATATTGTTGTCACATTTAGTTATTCTGAAAATGTCAAACTTGATAAAGCTCAAATTCGTGGCCTTGGACATTTCTGGTAAAAATTATTTAATTTGGATTCTGAATGCTCAGATCCATTTAGATGCCATGGGCCTCGGAAACACAATTAAAGAAGAGAATGATGCATCATTACAAGATAAAACGAAGGCCATGATTTTCCTTTGGCACCATATTAGTGAGAAACTAAAAACTGAATACCTCACTGAAAGAGATCCACTGTGTTTGTGGAAAAATTTGAAAGAAATATATGATCATCAAAAAACTGTTATCCTCCCAAAGGCTCGGGCTGATTGGTAGCAACTGCGGTTGCAAGATTTTAAAACTGTGACTGAATACAACTCTACCCTATTTAAAATCAGCTCTACATTGAAATTGTGTGGTGATACCTTCACTGGTGAACTTTTATTGGAAAAAAACATTCATCACATTTCATGCATCAAATGAACTCTTACAACAACAATATCGAGAGCGTAGATTTAAAAAATATTCAGAATTGATATCATGTTTACTTGTGGCAGAGCAAAATAACGAGCTTTTGTTAAGAAACCACTAGTCTCGTCCAATTGGATCGACACCGATCCCTGAAACATATGTTGCCTTATCCAGTGGTTGTGGACATGGACGTGGTCTTGGTGGTAGAAATGGCTATAATAATGAATATGGTCGTGGTAAAAATAACTATCACAATAATGAATATGGTCACAGTAGAAATCATTCCTATTACCGTGAAGGATATCAATCCTCAAATTTTCGCAATAAGAGATCCACACTATATCCCCAATGAGAGATTATAATGAAATGAAAGAAGTAAATGGAAGGATGTGACTCAACCTCCCGAGGCACATGATGATACTTGTTATCGGTGTGGAACGACAGGGCATTGGCAAAACATTTGTCGCACACCTAAACATCTGGCTGAACTTTACCAAGCCTCAATAAAAGAAAAGGGGAAACAAAAAGAAATGAATTTCATTGACCATGATGAGCTAGTTAACATCACAAATTTGGATGTATCAGATTTTTTTGAGGACCGTGATGAAAAGATAGACTTCTTGATTGGTGATGGAAATGTCCACACCAATTAATCCTATTTTCATTTCATATTCTGTCACTATGTTATCTTCAACAAGTTTTTATTTTCCTTGTATTAAAGTTTTTATTTTCTAGTTTGTATAAAAGTTTCTTTTCTGATAAAGAAATTTGTATGAATAGGAATGGATCTGACTAATTCCAAAAT